TTTTCGGTTGAGATAATTCATATGAAATATTTTTTTATATACTTTTACAAAGTTTAGTTATAATATATGTAACATAATCGTTGTTAAAATGTTTAATTTATACACAAATTTAGTGATAGCGCCATCTATTAAATATGTCCCGAACTACGTACTAAGTGACATGAATGAAGTGATCTTGGATGGAGTGAAGAGCTGTCAATATGATTCCCGTCTACACCAAAGTTCAACAGCTGATAGCGATGGGTCGAATTATGAACGATTTATTGGTTACATTGTATATATTCTAAAAATATTATAAAATGTAGTCATCAATTGTAATATTATCATGCGTTTTAGTCTTAGCTACAGATCTGCAAGTATTAAACGTGTTTAAAAAGTTAAGTGATTTATGTGAGTTTGTTGAACTAACCTCAAACTGTAAACAACTAAGGTAAGAAAATATATTAATTTGTTTCTAAATTATATATAAGTTTTACATATCAATCTTTTTTTAAATTCATTGAAATTTATTCAACAGTTAACATAAAAATGTGTTAACTGAAAAGGTTATTAAAATGAAGACAAAACTTTACAGGAAATTTTAGTAATAAAATTAAACTTTTTTAAAAACTTTTATAATATAGTAATTATGTTTCAAATTTAATTGCGATTTTTTTAGGATAATTAAGTATTGCATAATTAAGTACGCGTGGTAATCTTAAGTCACGTACCTAGTATTTTTGTAAACATTTCCATTAGATATTTATTAACAAGTTTAATGTAAACAAAGTACTCGAGAAGCTTATTTATGTTCTTACCTCGACGTGTATCGATAAATCTTAACGAACCGAAGCACTTTCGTAGACCGAGCGACACCTGTTGTTTGACTAACTGGTACGCTCATTAACTATAACAGTACCCCACTTTATACTAATTACTTCTAAAATGCACTTACCTAAAACGTTATCGCATCAAATAAATGGAAGTGTGCAACTGGCTCGGAAACTGAGCCGGTGAAAGTGACTTCTTTTTCCTTACACTGGATGCCAGACGTCGCAACGCAGGCATATCCGTTATAATATTCACAAATATTAATTATCTCAATGTACACTCTGTTTAACACTGCATCCTCAACACACTCCGACTGTTAAAATATAAAACCTTTTTCGTTTTATAATCGTATTCGATATTCAAACTGGTACATGCTAAGCCGTGACCGACGCGATGTGTCGTCGGGCGTCGTGTCGCGACATTCGAGTTTCGAGCCCACGCGAGGATGTGAACAATAAAGTGTTATATGATTGAACGCGATCACGGAAACAAGCTGAACGGGATTTTTTGTCTCTGTAAAGAAACGTGTGTAATGGCGTAACTTGAGGAGTGAGAGAAACGGACTCTTAGCATTGACTGAGCGTGCTGGCGCTGGGCCGCGGCCCGCGCAGGATGCGATCCATTAGTCAAAAGAGCGTCCATTATTGTATTGTCGTGGGCTTATCGTAACGCTCGGGACTCCTTGGATTGCTGGAAGCGATAAACCGAACAAAGAATTCGGATAGCGTGAAAACATGCAGGTCGGAATACTATTACATACATATACGTTGCACGTTCACGTTGAACTTGTCGAATTATTTACAAAAAATATATATTAATTAAAACTATCTATAGGTCATATAATGATGATTATTTTGTAGTTTTTTTTATATATTATGGATTTTAATTAAAAGTAAATTGTATAAGATTATAACGAATGAAGTAATAGTCACGGGACCGGAACCCGTTACTCACGCTAGTTTGTTTCAATTGGACAGTTAAGTATCTGTGAAGCTCTGAAGCCCGTCATTTCCGTTTCACACAGGAACCTTTTTGATGCATGTCTACTGAACGAACTGTCACTAACCGATTAAAAGTAACGTTACGTCCGATATACATTTATACCTATAGGCTATTAGAAATTATGTCTTAATATTTGAAGAATTTGATTATTCAAGCTAAAATCTACCTAGACTCACCTAGAATAGGCTGCGGTCAGTAATAATCAGTTTCTCTCATTAATAAACATAGATAGAAAAAAAAATGACGTACTTATAATGACGTGAGACCAAATGCTTTTCTAGAAAAACACTAAAACAGTACACTAGTCTTAAAACATTCGGCAGGACATTTAAATAATATTATTCTTTAATCATTTAAACAAACGAAAAACTATCTCAGAATCTAAAGATTAAACTGTCCAAAACACTAAGCTTCTCTCTAAAAATGAAGTTCGAATACTAATATAGTAGGACGATTACTTCAATGAATGACCTCAAAATATACATGCAAATATCGTATAACCAGTCTGAGCTGGTTTAAACTGGTTCGTGATGATTACAGAATGTTCAACACGAATACATTGTCTCACGACGGCCGGCCAGGATCACAGGTTCATAGATCTAGGTTTGGGTCATAACTCTGATGCAATGTTGACGCGTGCCACGACGAATACTACTATTTATACAAAACATTCTTTTTTTTTATTTCTAACCTATTATTTATGATTCGGTTTGAATCTCTGATCAGCCGACCCCACCTTCCGACAGTCCACGGAGGTCGGCCAAATCATGATGACAGTATAATGTCTTATAACCTTCACCCACTTCTATCATGTCACCAGGACTAGTGTTGGGAACTAACCGTAAACTCAATAAAAACTCAAACATGACGATGAAAAAATATATTTAGGATTTAAATTTATTATTATACCTATTTTTCCTACTATAAAAATGTTAAATTTTTGAGTGCATTGACGTATGTATATATATTTTATTACTTCTATAAGTCAAAATGTATTTCAATAAAACTTGACAATAATACAGGTAAACGACAAAACAATACGTAGACTATAATTGCCGCCAAAATTACTTTCAATTCCCGCGAGAATATGACTGACAAGTTGAATTTTCTATAGAATCAAGTGTCATCATAGATTTTAATTATGACGCTGTTTTTGAGACGGATTTCAAAATTCAAATCAGAATCGATATTAACTAAATTCTTCATGGACATTAATCTCATAAGAACGTTTTGAATTAACGCAATCATTAAAATCCTAGTCATTCGAGCTAAAGAAATATCGTATTACAGGAGCCAATTAAGGGTAAGTCGCCATTAAATTATTATCGGCGCGTATTTCCTGACCCTTTCCAGCCATTGTTTAAAAAAACAAAGTAATTAATACAGAATAAAACAATTAGAATGCTTAGTTTAAGGTTATTGGTTCAATATAATTTCTGATAATAGGTGTTAAGCAAACAGATGGAGAATAAACCTCTTATTTCATATAATACTTATTATATATTGATCGCAATAAAAAATATGTTATTATATGATAACACATAGATAAGAAAATATATTTATAAGTCTTATTACGCAAATATTTAAATTTCATTGAATTTTGATCAAATCCAAAATAGTGATTTTTTTACGTATAGTAACGGGTATAAAAAGTTAATAAAGATAGCTTTCCAGCACTTTCTAAAATTTAAGGGACTTTTATATTTAAATTTTGTTATTTATAGGTATATATTTATATTGATATAAATTATATAATATGAAATCAAATTGCTTATTTGGAATCAAGTTTCCAACCTTCGATAGCTCAGTTGGTAGAGCGGTGGACTGTAGAGTAATATGTATTCCAAGATATCCATAGGTCGCTGGTTCAAATCCGGCTCGAAGGAATATTTTTGAAAATTTTTAGCAAATTTTTTTAGCCATCATAAATTGCTACTTGTCACCTTTATTTTATATTAAAAAAAATATATATGAAAATGAAAAAATCTGTTTCCGCCCGGGATCGAACCGGGGACCTTGTGCGTGTGAAGCACACGTGATAACCGCTACACTACGGAAACTTGAAGTTTGACGCTGAAATTAATAGTAAGTCTCATTGAGAGTTATAAGACTCATTTCTTATAGGAATTTAAAATTTAAAAAAATAACTTACCTTGCCAGACGCACTATACAAAAATGAAATATTTGAAAGTATTATATGGTTGGAGAGTAGTTCTTTCTATGGTGGCACTAAGAAAAAGCTTGTAAATATACCGCGGAGTCATCTTTTATACTTGAACAAATTATAGTCTCATTGACCACCCGCTGAATAAGGCTCATTATTTCACACAAGGGTGTGGTTTATATGAAGCGAATATTGTAATCGTCTTCGCGCCCCATCCTCATATCATCATTACACCAATTCTATGTTTACAAATGTATAGAGAGTTAAGAAATTTCGAAATACATTGCGGTATTCGTACAGTGTCCAGTTTGTTACATTTGAGATAGCGTCCAATGTATGTTGTTACATTACTGAAGTTTTTATTTGAAGACATGTAGTGTAGTAACTAATTATTATCTCAGAGATGAAAGTAACTTTTGGAGGTAAATGGTCGTCGATTCTATTTTTATAAAGTAACTAGCTTTTACTTACTGGTTTTGCTCGCGGAAATATATTATTTTTTATCTTAATAATAGTATACGGAATATGTGTATGATATTGACAAAAAGTATTTATTTGTCGCAGGGTTACTTATTATTGCTGATTAAAATAATATTTTTAAACAGTTTATAAGAGATTTTTTCTTTGGATAGAAACTTTAATAAAAATTGTTACACCATACTGCGAAAACGTTAAATCAGTACGAAAATTAAAATCAAAATGTTTGATATCTCACAAACCATTAAAAAAAATATGAAGTTTTGTTTGAATACTTTTAAAGTGATAAGAATTTGTTATCTTAGGCATCACAGAGACTGTTATAATGATACATATATATAGGTTAATGCTTAAAATAGATACCATTAATATTTTATAATGATATGTGTCATTGTCAATTCTAATAATACGTAATTAAACACCAACACGATACAGATGCCGTGACATTTGATACCGGCGACTCATGTACGTCACATTATTTTTATCTATTCGTTCTTAATTAACTTCCTGGTCATAGTAAAATATTTGTTATTTCCTTCCAGCCAACATGACGGTCGAAGGTGTTATGGTGTCCTACAACTATTCGGACAACGCGGAACACTCGAACATACTGACAGTATCAGCGTCAGGGATAAAGTTCTCAAAGCGATGGGTTCTCACGCACGGATCAATATTATCGCCTCTAAAACAGGCCAATGTTATCAAAAACGCTAGAGGAAAACCGATTTTGAACGACGAATTCTATGACAACCTTCCGGAGATATACGTCACGTGTGAGAAAGTTAAACCAAAGACACCGAACATGTACGAGAAACTGGAGATCCTGAGTAGAGAGAGGTCGTTTGACAATGATGACCTGGAACATAGCAGCTATCAAGTTAGAGTGCTCACTGGAAGGTACTTTATCACAACACTTCTACTTTCCTCGAATTTTTTTAGCCCATAAAATGTAACCCGATATGTTTCTGGACGGCAAAATAACTTCATTTCTCGTTTCATATTCCATTTAGTTCGTATATAACATACTAGCTTTCCGCCTGCAGCTTCGCTCGCCTGAAGTTCGGTTATATCGCGTCTCCAAGAGAACCTTTCAAAATTCTGTGATAAAAACTATCCTATGTTCTTCCTCAAAATCAACTCTATCTCTGTACCAAATTTCATTAAAATCAGTTCAGTGGTTTAGGCGTGAAAGCATAACAGACAGACAGAGTTACTTTCGCATTTACAATATTAGTAGGGATTCCCTGAACCAAAATCGATGTAACTTTTGTTTAGGATATGCCACGTATGGCAGTGTCCGGTGCTGGATCGCTGCGTGGACAACATCCTGTACAGCTGGACCATCGGCCACCGGGACGGAGACCAGGAGAAGCAGACGCAGCTGGGGAAGGCGCTGCTGTCTGTGTTCGTGTTGGTGGACCTGGAAACAGATGACAGAGGTACTACACCCTTACAGGTCGAGACCTACAAGTATATGACGATATATGGCTTATGGCTTATCAGAGCCCACTGCTGAGCAAAGGTCTCTGCTCACATGGAGAAGTTTTGAGCATTTATCACCATGCTTGAACAAGACGGATTGGTGATCTCAAACTTATAGTATACTCTTGATTGCTGCAAGAGAAAAGGCACCTGTATATTGTGAATGCTTTTAAAAACTAGTCGAGCTTTTTTATCTTTAGTTATTGTACATTATCCACCTTCAGAACTTTATAAAAAAATTGACGGATAATATATTAAAAATTTTAACGTTCTATTCCATCTCTTCGAACTATATTAAAGCTTATAAATGTATTAATATTCAGAATTTTATTTGTGAACCAAATACGAAGCATTGAATATTTTCTTTTTGGTATTTATACATTTTTTTAAATCACAATAAGTTTTTCAGAGCTATCAACTATAGCAGTAATTGTAGACCTTGTTAAATGTCTTGTGACGGTATATGGGCCTATGGAACTAGTCCCATATACCAATATGAAGAAAAACAACTGCAAAAACTACTTAAAGTATTGTATAATGACCACATCTTATTTCAGACTTCAGGATCCTCCGTCCGTTATCTGAGCTCCTCGACATGTGTCAGTCTCCGCCCGACCGAGGCACCACCATCGACATACACTCCACGCCCTTTGGATGTGAGGTATAACAATTATTACATCACGACAGAAAGAATATATTACCTGACTCTATATATTACAGTATATCATCAGCTTATCAGAGCCCACTGCTGAGCAAAGGCCTCTTACATGTAGAAGGTTTGATAATTAATCACGCTTGTTCAAGACGGGTTGGCGATTTCAAACTTATAATATGAAATTTGGTTTCCTCACGATGTTTTTCTTCACCGTCTAAATACTCTTAGAAAGTACATATGACTCGGAAAAATCACATTAGTACTTTTGGACCTCTATGCCACCACGACTTTTTAGAACATATATACATAGTGCATAAAGACCAGATTTGTTTGATAATGTCCTAATAGTATTTATATCTGTAGGTGTTCCTGAACGCGGTCACTCGTGGCTCTGTGTGTGGTGTCGTAGGTAAACGACCGTCTCTCTTACTAACAGACGCGGCCACCGCTTTAGGCTCGGAAGGAGGACCCGTATTTACTACGGGACCCAAGTGAGTAACAGCTAGCATTGTTCTCAAAACCTAAATTATTTATTTATTTATGTACCAAAAAGAGAAAATTGTTACAATTAAAGTAATATAAAAGAAATGTGACGTACAAAGGATAACTTATCTCTTAAAAGAGATCTCTACCAGAAACCCTTTTGATAAAGGAAATGAGAAGAGAAATGTGGAATAATTTACTTTCCTCCCCATTTCTTAAACATCTTTTAAATTCTTGTCTTCATAGAGCTGTCAATATTTCAATAACACCATTTTCCGTGTTACTGGGCTATAAATGAGAATACGTTAAGATATAACCACGAAGTTTCTTTTTGGAAAACAATATAATTTACTCATTTCAATATAAGTCTCAAAAAGTTTTCCTTTGGAGTACTTCTTTCTACATATATTTTTGAACTACTACTTACTGTAGATATGTTTCATACTCAAAAACCTTGCTATTATATATTTTACAACTCATCAATGACCAACGTCTACTGCTAACGTTTGTGTTTGACCGTTAGCTGCCTAATGTTTTATATCTATGTACTCTAAATCGTATAACATAATATAAAAAATACATATATAGGCATCTCAAGGTCGATGAAATTTTAATTAAATATGTCATTGCCCAACTCAAAGTGCTAAATCTTTTGTTATATAATATGGACATGGCCAAGTCAATGTCCCCAGTGTGTTATATCATGGTCCATATCCCTGTATATTTGACCCCAGCAACTCCTTGGTGGGCGCGGTAGTATGTTCCGTGTCGTGGTGGCGCGGGGAGTGGGTCGGTCTCACTCTAGCCGCTCCTCTCAAGTCCGTGCTCGCTGCTAAGCTGAGGGTTCAACAACCGCTACCTACTAGAACACCGCCGTCTCCGCTGTACGTTAGGATACTAGGTGAGTATCCTACTGGGAAGTCTTAAATATTCATTGAGTTAAATACTTCAATGATCAGAATGCTCCACAATTAATATTAGCTAACGATAGATATTTGTAACGTTTTCTAGTTGAGAAGGTTAAAACAATAGAAATAAGTTAGTTGGACATACATACAAAGTCTTCCGCACTCATAGAAGAATACCATGTATGTACAGAACTGATCGACCGCAGTACTATGTTGGTGCGGTGCGGCGCGGCCTGGGGCGCCGGGCTCTACCTGGGGGGAGGGCACGTGCTCACATGCGCACACGTCGTCAAACATGTTCGTACACACACACACACACACACACACACACACACGTACACACACACACACGTACACACACACACACATATAAAATTGACAGCCGTCATTGGTTCAAAATATTATAAGCACCACACAATAAACTAATTACAAATAAGTGTTTACGTTCCGTAGAAAACTGCAATTTCTAGAAATATCAGCTTACTCTAAACGTAATTTTGGTTCTATATTGGTTTATCCATGGGAGATATAAGAGAGGTCGACAAGCGACATCTGAAAAAAAGAAAGAAAGAAAAGACATTGACATACACACAAAGAAAAAAAAAACAAAATTATACAAAAAAGGATATAAAAACAACATTACAAAAATAAAGAAAATTAATATAATTGATATAAAACTTGTGCAGTCAAAAGGAAACAGCTCAGTCTATGAGGGTTTTTTTATCCCTATACTGATTTTCAGCCGTCTCCCTTGATCTGCTCAATGATCTTTGCATCAACACTTCCTCCTATATACTACGAACAGATATTAATATGATATTGTATGTATTGTATCAGCACTCAACTCACAAAGTGTCGGTATACTGTGACAACGTGAAGCAGTTTGCGTCGGTCCGCTACAAGACCAAGGACGACCGGGCGTACGACCTCGCGCTGCTGTACGTGTCGCCCGCACACTCTACACACATGCTGCCCGCGGTGTTCGCTGAGGACACAGCGCAGAAAGGTGACCAGTATAATGAGAACCTTGGATATTACTCTTGAAATAGATATGAACATAATTGTATAAGAAAATAATATAATTTAAGGTTCAGAAGAATATAGCTATCTTATCTTATGTGCCAACAAAGATTTTTGGAACAAGAAGTTACTGTTTTCAATCATATCTACGAATTTGTTTTTTATAACAGGAAATTATTGCCTATTGCGTAGATTCTAAAAAGATTTAAGTATTGAACACGACTATCTTCTTACAGATTATTTGGTAGTTAATAACTTAAGTCATGATGTCGAAGATTTACATTAAATATATTACACGACCATAGACAAGACCAGCGATGTTTCAGCCATAGACAATGAGTTGTAGATAGTTTTGACATATATATGTGGTTTTTTTTTCAGGCGAATCAGTACTAGCGGCGGGGTTCCCATACTTCAACGAGACCAACCTGGAGCATCTAAAACCGACGGTGACCAGCGGCCACGTGAACAACGTGTCCCCCTCACTTATACAGACCACCTGCTGTGTGCAGTCGGGCTTTAGGTGACCAGACACTCATACATATATACATAATACACTCAATAAATAAACCTAATGTGATATATCAACAGATAACGTAACCAACAATATATAACATTATATATTCTTTTGTTAAATTCTGCTCTTACATGGCTGTACAAATCCAAGCACAACAATTATTTTTTTTTTATTTTTGTAATATGACATATTTATAATTACATTAACCTCTTTGGTAATCTCATGTCAATTTTTATTAGAGATAAAAAAACAATAAAACCTGACCTATTTATAAAATCCGACCAGATTAATCAATACTAATTGTATACAGCGGAGGTCCAATATTGATATACATTTATAATTACATTAACTAACCTCTTTGGTAATCTCATGGCAACTTTTTATTAGAAATAAAAAAAAGAAACAAAAAGAATAATAAAACCTGACCTATTTTGAAGAACTAACAATAAAATACTAATTGTATACAGCGGAGGTCCAATATTCCGTATAACCAAGGAGCTGAAAGTTGAGGTATTGGGTACGATCGTGTCTAACGCTAAGACGGAGACGGGGGCCAGCTACCCGTACATCAACATGGCCGTACCTACTAAGGCGTTCATTAGACTCGTACAACACTTCATATTGGAGAGGGGTATATTAATTATCTTTTTACAAACTACTACATAATCATAGATAGAACTGGTACATAATCATAGATAGAACTGCTACATAATCATAGATAGAACTGCTGCATAATCATAAATAGAACGGGTACATAATCATAGATAGAACTGCTACATAATCATAGATAGAACTGCTACATAACCATAGATAGAACTGCTGTATAATCATAGACTTTTTGTACTTATATTTAATGTAATCATTTTGTTTTCAGATGAGAATGTCCTCTCCCAAATTGAAAACAAAAAAGATATGATCCAGTCACAGTGGAGGTTGCTGCCTTATAGATCTAAGATATGAGTGAACAATATAATTGTATATGTTGTATACTATGTTATAAATATATATTTATTGGCGAGGATAATGTTATTAATATTGACATGGTGAATAGTTCATACTATTTATAATATGATCATTAATTTAAAATTGTAATAATTATTTTTTTTTATAATATACCAATTGTTTTATTATCGGATCGTTCAAAGAAACTCGCGAGAAAAAATAATAGCAGTACAATTGTGATAGGTAAGAATATTTTTTATACTAATTTAGGCATAGCTTCAAAGTCGCAATCCGTCTGTGCAGGTTGTCCACACGCCTGGTCACAGTCCCTTCTATTCATGAAGTTGTTCTCATTACCACCACAGCCGCTGTATAAAAACCTGTCGCACGCGTTTATCGTAGGATTGAAACCCCATCTGGCGGATGAAACCATTTAGGAATTTTAGGTCAATACAACAAATAATAGCAGTAAATCCGACTCAAAAAAAAAGTCCGGAGATCTCGAAAACCGTGATATTTTTAATAAGGTCAAATTGTGATTTTTCTAACTTCAGTTTAAAGAACTTTATTCTCATTACGACAACGTCATTTACTCATGTAAATGAACTTATAACTAATTTATAACTATAACAATTCGTTCGGATCAGCAAAACAGATGAGATAACAGTTTCAATTAATTATTTTAACAGAGAATCGTTACACAGAATATGGTTATAAAGTCGAGATTTAAACATAGAAAAAATTGTTAGAGTTTTTACTTGTTTAAATTGTTATAAAGTTTTGCTCCCTCAAAAATAGACATCTTTTTTCCACGCTTAGTTCTTATTTTAGGCAATATTAGATGGCTAGCACGTTTAGTTGCATATTTGTGTAATTGACCTTTGCTTTCGAAAGATATTTCTGTATGTATTTTTTTGTCTAAGATTTTACTTAACTCCTGTGTCACTGGGACGTGGTCCTTTTTGGACGCCCTATATAAACGTATATTCATTTATATGTGTCTACCTGTATTGTGACCTATTGCAGTTACCCTCCACTGGTAGGAGGTAACAAAACTCCGGTCTGCCATAGTTCTCTGGGATGTACGCCCATGGAGGTGGTGGGACGCCTGAATTACCCTTACCCAGACCTAGAACATTAATAAATTGATGAAATAATAGGACATATTTTTACATAAAATCGGCGTAAAATAGTCTTTAATGGCTGCGTTTCGTCCGATAAGTGAGAGAGCCGGTTTTCCCAACCTTTCCTGCCCTTTCCTTTCCCTCCCTTTCTGACCTTTTTTCCACCTTTTCCAAGATCAAGGGCAGCAACACATCTAGAAAACTAGGTTGCGGATGTCTATGGGTGAAGGTTCTACCTCCATCAAGTAGACCGTCTGCTCGGTTTCCCCCTTTTTCTATAAAAATAAACTCGTCTGCCAGTACCTACCCTTCCAATAAGTCGGCCAGCCGTCCTCAGGGTTTCTGCCATCTTCAGTACTATCGAAACCCATCGATGTATTCTCTTGTCCCCATAACTCGACCCATTTCTTCCAACTGTCGTCCGGCGGGATCCAACCACCCCACGATTGATTTGAGAAGAATTTTGGTCGTTGTGTCTTATTCTTCTTCTCTTCTTTTTTGCCTCCAGATTGTTCTATCTCTCCCGCAGGCCGGCATGCTAGGTTGAAATTAATTAAACAAACTAAAATTAATATCGATCTCATATTCAAACCTTTCTCTTGAACTTCATTCGTTTAAAATAATTAATTATAAGCTTATTTTCGTTGTATAAGGACATTTTTGCACTCTCTATACTTAGTAAAAATATTTATCGTAATTACTGCAATGACTATAAATATTAAATACAAATTCATTTATTACTTTTCCGGTATATACCAAACTAATTTGTAAAAGCTTAAATATAATACATGAAATAGGAAAAGTGTAGTTATGGTTTTATTGTTTAATTAAAAGTAAGGTGTTGTTTCAATTACAGTACCGGCGATACTAATTTGTTAATTTTTTGTCGTTAATTGAAATTACTTAATTAAGACCTATATGGCATATAAGACATAGGTTTCTTGACTTGAGAACTATGGCAGCAACTCTAGATTAAGCGGGAAATTTAGAACCGCCAAGGGAAGATACAAATTTAAGATAACTATCTAATAAAAGGGGTTTTGGAGGACGAGAGCTGTGGAGTTTGGAAAGAAGGACGATTAAGAAGGTCATGCGACGATGATTGCAGTATTCTACAATTAATTTATCGCAGAGGACATGGTGACGATTATATTAATGGGGGGTATTGACATATTCAACCTGCAATGCCATCGAAGGACACGATTTCATTGCCCATATGATAATTCTTAGGCATTTCAATTGTAATTTGTCTAACTTTTCGAAGCTGATTTATAAATACGGTCCAATAAAAACAATCCATAATCCATGACGCTACGATAGTTACACTTTCCCATAATTGGCGTTATATAATTTTTTTGAGAGTAAGGTTGAGAACCCCAACACACCGAACAATGCGTGTAGGATATTTGACCCTTTTTCACATTTTTTTATAACGTACTCACTATGTGGAACACCAGATAATAAAAACCTTTTTGAAATAATTCGTAAAAAATGAACATAAAATGAAATGTAATAATGACGTCTTAAAGATGTCAATACTGACATATGACGTTGACAGTAATTTTCATTTGATTTCAAATTGTATAAGAATTTTAAAAACAATTGTGTTTCACGACTCACAACACTTACTACTTAGCTTATGACGTTATTTTATTCACATTTTCTAACTTGCTATCTCGGAATTTCAAACGTGTTATATTGTTAATAAATAAAATCTTGTGTATCGTAATAATATCCCAATTTATGATTTAACATTCAGTACGTGAACTACTTTAATAATGACGATTTGGAACGCTAAAGAAAAATTTTTTTTTGTTTGGTGAAGGAGACGGTTTTTTATTAAAAGTTCGTTATATTACTAAAAATGAATCCGTTAGGTGTTCTTATGTGGAAACATTTGGTGGGTAGGAAGAGGAGATACATCCTCACTACCGCTGAAATATTATCACCTTTGGCGTTCTTTGTGCTCTTATATTTATTTAAGGGCTATATAACTGCTAGTACCAAATCGAGATTGTCTGATGAATTTACAGTCCAAAATACGGTAAGTCTAGGTCATAACAAAAATAGTAATTAATATTTTACATTTGTATATTAACTGAGTTATAAAATCTATGTCTATTTAATTACAATCAGCTTGCTATTTTTTAAAGTGATTAACGTACATGACAAAAACGGCAAGCAGCAATTATTTTTATTATATTATTGTGTAGGAACCAGTGGAGTTGAAAAACTTGCCGGGGCCCACAGCTGTATTCTACAGTCCCGATACAGACCTCACCGGCCTTCTCATGGACCAGGTTGGGGAAAGCTTACACTTGAAAAGGAATAAATACACTCCAGGTAACATAAGATTTTATAGTGTACTAGCTTTCCGCCTGCAGCTTCGCCAGCATGGAGTTCGGTTATATCGCATTTCCAAGAGAACCTTTCAAAATTGTGGGGCAAAAACTATCCTATGTTCTTTCTCAAGGTCAACTCTATCTTTGTACCAAATTTCATTAAAATCAGTTCAGTGGTTTAGGTGAAAGCGTAACAGACAGACAGAAAGAAAGAGTTATTTTTGCATTTATAATATTAGTAGTCAAATATATAATATGTCAAATATATAAGTTTGTATGTCAATTGAGTCACTTAAAAAATTTTAACTGCTTATTTAAAATTTATTTATAATACTTATAGAATACAAAGTAATTAATTGAAAATGTGGTATTCAATATTACTTTTGACTGTTTATAGCCGAATATTCTTTAATTTTGGACTTTTTTCATCAATTGAAATATTAATAATTTGCTGTGTAGATGTTTAATAATAGGATTGATGAGTTTTATTATTGTAGGATATCTTGAGGAGAGTGGATACATGCCATTCAAAAATCTATCTGATGTACTTTATGCTAATAGGAAACTAACGGATACAGATGCCATCGTACTGTTTGAAGTAAGTACAAACTATGTTTTTTTCGTATATTTCCACTCATATATTTTTAATAAGTCATTTGATAATACTGCACTTGTATTTAAGGTTTTGATATATATTTTTAATCTTTAATACAAGGGAGCATATGTACTTGTAAGATAAACACTTGAGGGATCTGTTAGAAAGTACATATTTTTATTTTAAACCTAAGTTTTATACAATAATACACTGTTATAGACATGTACTTTTCATTTGTACTATTTGTTTTATCCATTTTAAAATACTTCATAGTGTGAGTTCATGGAAAACTAAACATCAGAAGTAAACAGTTTTTTCATTAGGATTGGTGGAGTTGTTTATAAATACCATATTGAAAATTACCGCTTCTCCAATGATTGTTATGATAATAATTTTTTTTATAGAGCACACAAACAAACCCTGATTACATAATTATATCCGATTGTAGTATAAGTACTATTATCTTTATAGAATCTACCAAAATGTCAAGTTAATTTTAAATCAATATATATTTGGATTTTGTTTATTTACATTTGTATGAATTTTAAATTTTTAGTATAGAGCTGTTATGTATAGTTTATGTGATGTAATATCTATTCTTATAATAATATAAATTATTTCAATTTTATATCATTATGACAGCCCTTTATTAAATTTACAAAATACTTTTTTATTATCACAAATGAGCAATGCTTCATTCTTAAAAGTGTTTAATGAAATAATTGCAAGTGGTTTAAGTTTATTCAATGGCATATGTGTCAACATTACGCTTTAATAGTCAGCAATGTTTAAAACTCTTGTCAAAATCTGTACTTATTCTTCTTAAATTTTGACAGAAAAATTATTAAAACCTTCTGCATGTACGTTATAAAATATTTTTATATACGATCATTTATCATTAGAGAATTCTTACGGTGTGTAGTGAGGAAATGTTGTTGAATATTTTAAAACCCGATTCATTTGCACACATAATGCAACTGAGTCATTCATTACGTGCTATAGGGTGGTCGCCCCTATAAATGGATCGCATGAGTAAGTTTTGCCAAGTAGAATACACTTATAGGATACGTACTATTCTCTGATAAATTACGTTCTGCCAACAAAACTTGGCTCTTTTCCATAATGCAGTTTTTAGAATAACTTTTATAATATTATATGAACATATTGTACCTTTTATTTTAGTTTTATTATAAAACTTTTATACGTTATATAAATTATAATTTACAAAATATGGTGAGCATGTTAATAATTTCACCAAAGCAGCTATTTTTAATTTTTTTAAAGTGCGTTTCGTAGTCGATGTTACTCGTATTGTACAGTGTACACCCGGCGTCGCGTCGGTGGCGGCCATTTTGAATTATTTATATTTAAATTTTATAATGATGGCAATGTCAATAATATGTATACCTATTAATACCACGGCACAAATATTGTACAAATAATAACTTAATTCAATATTCGTGAAATTTTTTTATGTATTTTTGTCAAAATGACGTGCGTGCATTATATTGACGTACATTTTTAGTCTCTCTAGATTTTGATTTATATGTAGCGGATTTGTTTTCAATTCGTATTTTCTTGGAAGTATGGTCAGTACACCAGGCCATATAGTTACATGAGAACCGTAATCTGATGAGGGTGATAATAGCGACCTTCAGTTTTAACGAAATAGGGTTGCCTTTAAAGAGAACTTATAGATTTATATTTCCGAGAACTTTAACGGTATAAAATCGATTCAGAATCTTTTATACCGTCTCCCTTATGTAATACTGTTATTGGTAATTAATTAAAAAGCATTGTTTAAAATCACAATAATACTCTCCGAATTTTTGGACATGATTAACATTTAACATTAATAAAATCTTAGTTTGATGTTTTTCGTAACACCTATTTTACCAATCACAATATTTTGACTGAAGATTCAAAACATTTTCAAACAAACGGATCTGTCAGCCCTACACTAAACTAAGCTAATTTTAAACGCTTTCACTCTTAACAATGCCACTATCGCAATATCCCGTCGATTAAAATAAATATAAATTACAATGTAACAAAAACAAAATGAGATACTGATTTGACCACTGTTTGATTCAATACATAAATAATTACATTAATAACATCCGGTATGTGACTAAAGTTACATAACTCAAGTTACTTCCGTAAAAATTGTTTTGAAATATATGTACAATGGCTTTGTCGGAACGTCTGTAATGTTTATTTAACTCGCGAACAAAACAACCGTACAGAATGATAATATTTATACCGATGAAAAATCAATAACACGATGAGCCCACAACAAATAATGTTAGTGCTATTGAAAGTTGAATCGACATCTATTTTGAATCTATGCTTACTATAAGTGAGCATCGTAACAATACGTACGCACATTATGCCGGCCACACACACTACGGTCTATAGACAGGTAATCTGTGCAGGTCAACCGAACAATGGTAGCGTTCAAAAAACTGCACAGTGCACAGGTTTATTCCCACACACATTTCGGTCTACCTGCACAGGTGGACCTCTCCGGTAGATCTTAGCGGGTGTGGCCGGCATTATATGTAGTATAAGCTATGTGGCGAACGCGACACTTACATATATAATTAAACATTATATATATATATATATATATATATATATATATATATATATATATATATATATATATATATATAATATAATATCTCATGTATTTTGTTACATTAATTATATATAATGTTTAATTATATATGTAAGTGTCGCGTTCGCCACAGCTATAAGTTATAACGTACGTCAAAGAATGGGAGAGAATAAACGCTTCGTATACAGCTAGTCTACACCTCTATGTGCTTAGTACAAGTCGAAACGCTCGAAAAGATGCTTTAACACTTTTAAATTAGACATATAAAGCATTACATACGGTATGCTTACGAGTTACGATTCAAGAATATACATATATGCATACATATATGAATGCTTACAGTATATATCGTGAATAGTCACGCTATATACTGTAAGCATTCATGTAGAAATAGACAGAATATAGATCTCTATAATGCATAGACTATTTTTAAATCTAAATAATCTTGTAAAATGTTTGTTTTGCTTATCGTTATTGCCTTTAATGAAATAACTCTTGTCGAGTAGGCAGATATATCGCATTCTTGAAGACTACCAGGAACTGTAATCTAAGCTTAATGTCGTTCCATCAGCGTTGGTTTACTAATGGAGCATTTCATAGTATTAACTATATGTATAGTATTATATACAGGGTGACTGGTGAATTACTATCAATATTTAAGGAGAATACTCGGTACATGATTCTCATTCGAATTATGTAAAAAAAATAGGCACTTAATTTTTGACCAAATTTCCGTATAAATAAATAAAGTGTGGACACGTTCCAAGTGTTCCAAGTGTGGACGCGTGCGGCGGCGTGCTGATACAACACCACGCCGCCGTACGCGCATGTGTGTGTGTGTATACCTAATCTGTAGGGTATTCACACGATGCGTAATTAATTACATAACTTTTGGTTAACTTTACTTAGAAGTTTATTAATATTTATGTTATATTAATTTTTATTTTGTCATATATGATCGTCAAATATCACGTCCTCAAATATTGTTAGTAATTCACCAGTTACCCTGTATATAACTGTTAATACATATGGAGTTATATTGTGTATAAACATAATCTATGTTTAAACAGTTTTAAGTATCTATAAAATTAATATATTTATTAAAAAAATCAAGTAAACCCACCTAATTATGTTGAAATTTGAAACTTCTATAGAAATATTTGATAAACGTGTTGCGTAGTATAATCCGTGACTAGAATTTAAAATAATATCGCATCCAAATCCGATAGAGGACTCAATAAATTATGAAACATCGATGAGTACAAACATACAACCTCTCACACAGTAAACAGATAGATGCGATATTATTACTCGCGTTACATCGAAGATAATCGAAGTCTGTCTGGTTTTCGACTATTAACAACTTATCAAGAATATTTCAAATAAAACTTACAAGAAATAACAAAGTAATAAACAAACAATAAATTCATAACCGTTTTTTTTATTTTACATAACCAAAGTATATGTTATAAAAATATAAACAAACGCATGAACTTTAGTTATCCGTATTATGTTTTTTAATTCCGTTGTTTGTCTCATCAGAATATGACCGGTTCGTGGCCTGAACGACTGAACTATACCATCAAGATGAAAGGTGACTTCCAAACTCACAAAGTCACCGTCAACGACGAGTCCTTGGGGCCACACGAGAGCTTCGGTAATATATAGCAACATTATATTATATATTATTAAAAAAAACTACATATATAATGACTATGTCCATCAGTCCTTGCAAGAATGCAATGTATAGAAAATTGCATACTTACATTATAGAAATAAATTCAATTTGTAAAAAGGCTATCTTAAGCACTAATTTATATCGTCTTAAACGTTTGGCTTGAAGTTTTATAAATCGTTCATTCCATTTGAAGCTGTCAGTGGTAATTAAAAATGATAACTTATACCAAAATATCCAGTAATTTTGCGAATATTTGCATCAGGTACGATATATGAGCCCTTCATGAAACTACAGTGGGCCATAGACACTAGCTACCTCAAACTGTTAACCGGTACTGACATCAAACAGGTACAACTATCTATAATACAGTAAAAAGAGATATATATTTGAATATTCAATTTTTATTACCCACATAATAAACTGTATAATTGATGCTAATAACTTACCTTTCTAAGCATGGATCTAAATCACAGCTATCGTACATATTAAGAGCCTCTTATTGGCAAGTAAATACTTATTACTACCTATGTATTGAGACGCTACATACTTGTATACGTATATTCCAGCGTGTGACGATCCAAGAGTTTCCTTACGTTCGCCAGCGTGAGGTACCAGTGATAAAGGAAATTTGCAACCTTCTGCCATTCCTCTGTTGGATATCTTTAATACTGACATTCGTGTATGTAATGTCGAAGCTTCTAGAAGAAAGGATCACTGGTATTCAGGTCTAGAAACTTCCAAACTTTTTAAATTTCGTTAATAATAGAGTTATATTTCACCAAACAATGTTTCTTTGCAGGAGCTGATCAAGATGGTGGGAGTGACAAGCTTCCAGATAAATGTGTCCCATTTCTTGAACATGTTGCCTATCGGTGTTATTTTCTGTGTGTTCGGGACCGTAGTGCTGACGGCGACCTCATCTCCCATCATACCACAGACCAACCCGTTTCTCATCACTACATTCTTGTTGTTGCACTTTGTGAACGTGATGTGTATGGCCTATGGTAGCAATTACATCGTTACTAGCAGTAAGTCATGCTTCAATTAACCTTGTTTGAAAAGCTTTTGTATGCTTCTAATTGGTTCATACTACTTTATAAATATTTTAAATGAAATCTGATACTTCCAGAGGAAGTGTCCGTTTTAGAAAGAAACAAATCATGATATATATATATATATATATATATCAGTGGCGGCTGTACCTTAAGTGCACTCGTGCGCTGAACCACCAATTCAAAAGATTAAAAAATTACAAAATGTTACTTCAACTTTATTTATAAATTAACATTTTAATATTTATTTTTTAAACATACAAAAACGTATAAACAATTAAATTTCCTAATTATATTTTGAATAAATTTCCTAATATTATATTTTGAATGTTACAGCCATGCATATGATATGATTGACCATTAACCTGACTTTAAATCATTCAGCTCAGTACTCCACAACAATAGCTGCACTAGTGTACCTCTTGGCAGATTTTCCAACAACCTTAATAGGAAAGAGCGCTCCTAAGTGGGCGCTGCCGGTCGTCGGGTTGCTGCCCTTCATGCCTACTTACTGGTTCTGGTGGGAGGTCGGCGAGATGGAGGCTTACGGTTAGTAGCTTCTATTTTACATGGGCCTCTACAATATTATTGATATATGGTTAAAGATGTATAAGTCAGTGGTGGCCTAGTGGTTAAGGGGCCCGCCTCGCGTTGCCGAGGGCGCGGGTTCAAACCTTGGCAAGTACCAATGTGATTTTTCGGAGTCATATGTACTTTCTGAGTGTATTTAGACATCACTGACAGAAGGTGAAAGAAAACATCGTGAGGAAACCTGGACTTATAGTTTCACAATTATAAGTTTGAAATCACCAACCCGTCTTGAGCAAGCGTGGTGATTAATGCTCAAACTTTTTCCATGTGAGAAAGAGGCCTTGCTCAGCAGTGGGCTTCTGATAGGCTGATAGGCATGGTTAAAAGATCTTTATTCTCATAAGAACATACATAGGTTCACTTACATCAGATTAAATTGACACACACATATGTACATTAATATTTGATACATGGAATGACTGGTACTACTTAATATTGTCTAATATATATATTTTGTGTTTATTTTTAAAAGCGTTTGAATATTTACATTCCTTTATGTAGTTTGGCAAAACATTATAATTTTTATCATTTAAAGTTTGTTGATAAAATTTTTTGTTTTTATTTATAAATTTATTACTTGTGCAAAGATATCATTTGTTTTTCTGCAAGATTTTTATTGATCCCAATGAAAGGCACTGACTCTTCCTACTTTTCAAGGAAAGGGCGCCGGATTCGGTTCTATTGGGAAGGTCCACGACGTTCAATCTGGTAGTATCTTGGCAGCCTTCGCTTTGATGTTAGCTCAATCAGTGATTTACCTCTTACTGGGCTGGTACCTATCACTAGTGAACCCTGGACCATACGGACAACCGCTGCCAGCTAACTTCCTATGTACCGTAAGTTAATTTCCTACCTGATTTATATACGAAAAGATTTCTGTCTTTGAAACAACAGTGGAATTTTTTTTTAACCTATTTGGATGAAATTTTGTGGTTGATAGATGTTTTGCCGGAATGACGCAACATATTTAGCCAATTTACTTATGAAATGGATGACACTTGCTTGATAATTTGCTTTGTGGTGTTCAACACTAGCTAATACAAAGATCAGCTCAAACCAATACCACTGAGTCTGAATATATTAGATAAGTGATATAACAATTTACACCCCTACTAATATTATAAATGCAAAAGTGTCTGTCTGTTTGTTACGCTTTCACGCCTAAACCACTGAACTGATTTTAATGAAATTTGGTACAGAGATGGAGTTGACCTTGAGAAAGAACGTAGGATAGTTTTTATCCCAGACTTTTGAAAGGTTCTCTTGGAAACGCGATATAACCGAACTCCACGCGGGCGAAGCTGCGGGCGAAAAGCTGGTATCCATATAAAATCATTTAATCTCCCCAGAAATTGGTATTTTTATAATTCGTCATTCCTATATATAATCTATTTATTGATTTCCATCTTCTAAAAATTCAATGGAAATAATAATACAAATACGAGCCAGCATAATGTTTAAATGAAATTATATTTCAACTTAATATTTGTTCTGTTGTAGTTGTTATGTTATTTTATTATCTTTTTTTTTGTATACATGTGATAAGTGTTACTGTGTTTTTATTTTGTTGTTTGTTTTGTGGTGGTGTAATCTTTTAACCAATAAAATTTATTATTATTATTATTTATATATTCCAGTCGGAGTTTTGGACTAAGAAGCAAGTTGTCCCTGAGATGGACACCGAGGAAGAAACTGAACTCGCAGAAAGACAGGACCCAGCGTACTTTGAAACACCGCCCAAGGACATGTACCCTGGGATCAGAATCGTGAACGTGTCAAAGGTGAGCAGATCCGGGACTTACTACTAGTATATACACACCAGCAGGGGTCAAACCTGCGACTTTGACGGGACTTCGATAAATACACATCATATATTCTACTAGCTGCGCCCCATTACCCACGGATTTCCGAGATTTCGGGATGTAAAGTAGCCTATATGTTATTCCTGGACGTCAGCTTCCTGTATACAAAATTTTATGAAAATCGGTTCAGCCGTTTGAGCGTGAAGAAGTAACGACTATACACACACACTCACAAACTTTCGCAATTATAATATTAGTAGGATTTAAAAAAACATCACAGTAAAGGAGAACATGAGGAAAACTGCGCTTATAATTTACAATTATAAGTTTGAAATCGCCAACTCGTCTTGAGCAAGCGTGGTGAATGCTCAAACCTTCTCCATGTGAGCAGAGGTCTTTGCTCAGCCGTGGGTTCTGATAGGCTGTTGATAGTGATGATTCTATTTGATTCTTAATTTGTATTCCATATTCCAGGTGTTCCCTAAACACCGCGCCCTCAACAAAGTATCGTTGGACGTGTACCGCGGAGAGATCACGGTGCTACTGGGACACAACGGAGCCGGCAAGACGACGCTCATGTCGATTATAACAGGTCGCATATATATATATCATAATCATTATATATATACAGATAAAAGTATATATGTATTATATATGTATATATATAATTCTTCTGTGAGTGTGTATGTCACTGAACTTCTTTCAAACGACTGGACCGATTATGATGATTTTTTTTTGTATGTGTTCAAGGGGATCTGGGAATGGTTTAGATTCACAATTTTGTCCGCTGGACAATGTTTCTTTACTTAATTTTTAATATATTAGTAGTTGTTGATACAAACGCTTTTTTGACATTAGATTTGACAACTAACTTATATGACAAACATTCTGTCGCACTTCAAAACACGGAGATTTATGGCTTTAATAGGTAAACTCCAAAAATATAAATAAAAAAACGTAACAGATATTTTTTGATTATAGGGCGATACGAAGTTCGCCGGGTCTTCTAGTATATATATATATGGTATATATATGGTATGTATATAATAGTTTGTATTGTGTAGGTATGATGAGCGCGACCGAGGGCAAGGTGTACGTGGAGGGCTTCGACTCGAGCTCCCAGAAGAGCCAGATGAGGAAGCTGCTGGGTCTGTGTCCACAACACAACCTGTTCTTCCCAGACCTCACTATACAGGAACACGTGATTTTCTTCACCATGGTCAGTTAAACATATGATAATCTAATATAAAAACAAATTTCTGACCCAGATTTTGATAAAACTTTACCAAAATAAAACTTACAAAAAAACAATATCAAACATATTTCTTATGTCCTTTTAGTTCTCTATACATCATTGCATAAAGTAGTTGTCAAAAATTAAAGTAAAGAAAACGCTAGTAATCGACTATCTGCTCCTATTGCTGTTATTAAATGTAGGAGAATAATTAAAATTAAGTATAAGTGAACCTTCTGTAGTCACTAATAGTAAAGTGATATGGTAGTCTAAAGATATAAACCAAATTAATGTATGTATAGAGCGATAAATGATGACAATAATAAGTATTAGGTTTACTAATCTGAATTTTTTGCAGCTCAAGGGCAGTTCGTATCAAGAGGCGAAACAGTCATCTGCGAAGCTGCTGAAACAGTTGGGGCTTGGAGAAAAGATGGATGCCAATAGTAGTGATCTGTCGGGAGGAATGAAGCGGCGGCTACAGTTAGCGTGCGCGTTGGCGGGAGACGCCGCGGTATTGATACTAGATGAACCGACTTCCGGCCTGGATATAGAGACGCGCAGAGAACTATGGGACCTGCTACTGGTGGGCATATATACAGGGTGACTGGTGAATTACTATCAATATTTAAGGAGAATACTCGGTACATGATTCTCATTCGAATTATGTAAAAAAATAGGCACTTAATTTTTGACAAAATTTCCGTATAACACGTTGACACGTTCCAAGTGTTCCAAGTGTTCCAAGTGTTCCAAGTGTGGACGCGTGCGGCGGCGTGCTGATACAACACTACGCCACCGCACGCGTATGTGTGTGTGTGTGTGTGTATACCTAATCTGTAGGGTGTTCACACGATGCGTAATTAATTACATAACTTTTGGTTAACTTTACTTAGAAGTTTATTAATATTTATGTTATATTAATTTTTATTTTGTCATATATGATCGTCAAATATCACGTCCTCAAATATCGATAGTAATTCACCAGTCACCCTGTATAATATATGGGAACTTATTACGAGATAATATGGACACTGTGAGATCTAAGATTTTCGCGAGTACTCATTTAAATGAATCTAATATTTTCGGATTTATTTTTGATTACAAACTACATACTCCCGACCGACGTTTCGGTTACTTTTAAGCAACCGTGATCACAACGACGAGATGTGCCATCTCACCGAGGCAAAGTAAAATCCGAAAATATTAGTTTCATTTAAATATGGATACTCCAAACGGACAGTGTAAAGTTTTTCGTTCATATATCTATAAGATGATATGGCGATAGTTAGATAGATAGACAAAAATGACTTACATAATTTTGAAAAACAGCTAATAGATATTAACCAGATATAAAGAGACACGGAGGAAAATGTATTTCTAATGAATTTTTTTGATTAAAATTTTCAACATTAAATCAATTTTCAGATAATACTTCAATTAGATTGTAACAGTAAATATATATAAAAATAAATCATATACACGAGCAGGAGCATGTCCCAATAGTTTAATGGAAAAGCAACTGGAACGATATTCTCTAAGTTTTAGGTTCAAATCCTGCTGTTATTCATATTTAGTCTGTGTCATAGTTGTTTATTATCTGTGGCATATATTCTAATGTGGTTAATTACTGGGTTTGAAAAGAATCGTCTTTGTAGCTTTAAGTCGTATTTAATAATAATAGAAGATTTTAACATAGCATAATGAAAGCTTGGGCCAATGGGTGGTCCACCATATTTGGATGTATACATGAGATGTTTTATAAAGGTGACTTTACACTGGACTTAATTCTATAATATAGCATACACACTATATTTATTATACTTTAATATGTATATGTTTTCCACTAGTCTCTCCGTGGCTCCCGCACGGTGTTGTTGTCAACTCACTTCATGGAGGAAGCGGATGCTCTCGGCGACCGCGTGGCGGCGCTTCACTCCGGCCGGCTGGTCTGCTACGCCACAACTATGCATCTCAAGAAAGCTATCGGTACGAATTACTCACTTACATCACGGCGAGATGAATATGAAAGACTTGTAAAGGAGATAATTAATTGTTACAACATTCTCTCATCTAATAAATGCCTACTAATATTAAGAATGCGAAAGTAACTCTGTCTGTCTGTTACGCTTTCACACCTAAACCACTGAACTGATTTTAATGAAATATGGTACAGAGATGGAGTTATCTTGAGAAAGAACATAGGATTTATTTTTATCAAAGACTTTTGAAAAGTTCTCTTGAGAAGTTCTCTAACCTAACTCGACACGGGCGAAGCCGCGAAAGGAAAGCTAGTTTTATATACATATGTCCACCCAATTTATATCCACATGGTTAGCTAGAGTCCTGGAATTAATAGAATATTTTAAAAAGGAGTTTAATCGATTTCTAATATTAAAATATCAAAAAAAAAATTTGCACCATACTCAACATACCCGTATGCCATAAATAAGTAACAAGACAGTATCTGCCCAGAAATAATATTAGACTACAGGCCCATGTAACAGAATGAAACGGATGCCGTACAGAATAAAATGACCAAATTTACCCTGAAAATTGTCAGAAAATCTCTTATATTGTCCTATATACTGGTACCACCTGGTGGTTCATATGACCCATCGATTTTTTGGACATGGGCCTGTAGTCTATATATGATGTCTGTTTTAGATATATAATGTGTTAGTTCGTATTACTCGTAAATGCAGGGACCGGGTACCGTCTGTCAGTGATCACGGTGGACGTCCCTCGCGAGGCCTCCATCACGTCCCTCATCACGTCGCACGTGCCGGACGCCACTCTCAAGGAACAGACCCTCAATTCCCTCTCATACAATCTGCCCTCCAAAGACACCAGCAGGTTCCCGAAACTATTCAACAGCTTAGAATCGAAGAAATCCGAACTGGGAATCAACTTTATAGGAGTCGGTATATCGACGTTGGAAGAAGTGTTCTTGAAGTGAGTATTGTATTGAATATGATCGCTACTAATATTATAAATGCGAAAGTAACTCTGTCTGTCTGTTAGGCTTTCTAGCTTAAACCACTGAACTGATTTTAATGAAATTTGGTATAGAGATAGAGTTGCCCTTAAGAAAGAACATAGGATAGTTTTTATCCCAAACTTTTGAAAGATTCTTAGTAATACTGTGTGTCATAATGATTGTTTCTTACAGACTGTGCAGCGACACTAGCGCTGGGTTGACGCTCGACGAGGTGGATATGGGACCCAGTGGTACGAAACATGTTCTGTTTATGTTCATTTAGTTCTGTTTCATGTTTCCTGGATGTTAATTGTGTATTAATATTTCAGAACCCCAGTACGAGCTCATCAGCGGCGTGAAGCTGTACGCGCGACAGATTGTGGCGCTGGTGACGAGACAACTGAAATATATGAACGCGAGAAGAAACATTTTTGCGACTGTGGTAAGACAATATACTGTTTTATATATATAGTGACATATTATTTAAAAAATTCAATTTTTCTTTAATCCTATGATACAAAAATTCATATAATATAATCATTTAATATTACCACTTATCGAAGCTCTAGAATGTTATAATCTGTATCTAATATCTGTATATCTGTACAAAACCAAAATTACGGAATCTAAATTATATAAAACGATAAAAATAGATAAAACTCTTCCATCTTCACCGAGAGAATTATAACTAACTAGTTTTTGCCCGCGACTTCGTCCCCGTTATTTCGTCGTTAGTAATATATGTATAGCTGACCGGGCGCACTCTATTCCATATTAAATAACCACGTATTGATATTTTTTTAATTTTTCCTGTTTTAATCGAACAGAATGATTGACATATTAGTTAGTTGTCAAATCTAATGTCCTGGACCTGAAACCTGGACTTATAGTTTCACAATTATAAGTTTGAAATCACCAACCCGTCTTGAGCAAGCGTGGAGATTAATGCTCAAACCTTCTCCATGTGAGAAAGAGGCCTTGCTCACCAGTGGGCTCTGATAGGCTGATGACATACAAACCTTCCCTGAAACTTCACAAACATTTCAAGACTTAGATAAATCCATTCAGCCGTTCTCGAGTTTTAGTGAGACTAAGGAACAGCAATTCATTTTTATATATATAGATTTTACAGAACATTTAAATGAAACTAATATTTACGGATTTTACTTCGCGTATTTATTTTTGATTATAAATTACATACTCCCCACGTTTCGGCTACTTTTCAGCAACCGTGATCACGGGCAGACGAGATGTGAGTGTCTGTCAGTTGATCTGGTTATTTTACAGAACATGTTTGAAAAGTTTATCTATATCATAACGGTGATGTAATATTTTCCAGGGCGTGATCCTGCCTCTCTGCATGATCACATTGATGACGATCACCTTGAACTCCAAACAGAAGACTGAAAAGAAAGACGACATCGTTAACTTGAACCTGGACCTGTACCCGCAGCCGCACAGGAGGGTGTTGATGAACGTGGAGCCCGGGACTAACGTGCGGGCGTTGGGAGATTCATACCCGGACGTGGACTTTGAACTGACCAGCGACGTGGCTGACGGTAAGACGGCTGCCCTTCCCTGTTCCATACCTTTCCTTATATTTCCTTATTCCCACCCCTCCCTTTTCCCCCACAAGTAAGGTTGGCAACGCATCCGCAACGTCTTGTTGGGGATGTCCATGGGCGACGGTCACTACTGACCATCAAGTGGGCCGTCTGCTCGTTTGCCACTTTTAACATAAAAAAAAGATAACATAGGGCGCGATATATAACCGACTTTATGAAACCTAAAGTTACCAGTATAAGTGGTGGCCTAGTGGTTATAGGACCCGCCTCTCGTTGCCGAGTGCGCGTTCAAACCTGGCAAGTACCATTGTGATTTTTCCGAGTCATATGTACTTTATAAGAGTATTTAGACACCACTGGCAGATGAAAAAAAACATCGTGAGGAAACCTGGACTTAAAGTTTCACAATTATAAGTTTGAAATCACCAACCCGTCTTGAGCAAGCGTCGTGATTAATGCTCAAAACCTTCTCCATGTGAAGAGGCCTTTGCTCAACAGAGGGCTCTGATAAGCTGATGATCAAGTTACCAGTATAGAATTACAATAGACTGGAAAAGACAACATTCAATACAAAATTGCTTTTCATATCAATGTATGCCGTTATATGCTTGCCGATAACCTCTCTATATTTGGTATCTTTTTGGCGGGAAATTTCATTATTTAAGCAAGAGATAATTATGGGTAATCATGTTATAGATGGAACATGAATCTAAAAGTTGAAATAACCAGCATGGTAAATAGCAACTTTGGCAAGCAATGTTCAGCAGAATTCGTCCCTGTTAAACATGTTCTATGACAAATAAATACAGCTATTCAATTACAGGAACTTACCAATAAAAGGAAAGTCGTATAACAGCCATCAGTGTTCCCGACGATTTGTATTTCCATTTCTGTCGAATACTTTTCATGCTCTGGAGTCATATATAGTGATAAACTCCAGTATTGTCTTTCGCTGCCTCTCTGTAATCGCATATTTTCTTTGCTCCTTTTATGTAATGAATTTTTATCTAATGCCATCAAGGCATACCTAACATTTATATCATTGGGGTATAATAACTTCGGAAATTCGGAATGTTCAATGTTCCGATTCCTTTATCAAAGATATATTTATTGATTGAAGTAAATCCTAATTCTTCGCTTATCATATTTTTTCTCATCCTCACAGAAATATACATTTACATACCAGTACTTTGTTCCTTTTTGAATGTACAACAGATATTCTTAATGTATGTGTTTGTTTTGTTTCAGCGGTCTTCCGAACCAGCAAGAAGGATGTTTTTGAATACAACAAATATTTGGTCGGCATCGAACTTAACGAAACACACGCCAATGTAAGTGTTTTAGTCTCCTACGGTCTTTGGAACCGGTAGACGTTGCTTCCATACATGTTGCATTCACTATAAAACAGTTTTCGAACAATTTACGTACAAATTATAACTTTTGTTTGAAAAAAAGTTTCACCACTCACCCTTCCTTTTTTATCACTAATAGCGGTTTTTCTATACTATTTGGGTCAACGATTCCTCTAAGAGCATTCGTGAACCGCAATTTAAAAAGACATTCCTTTTTTGAACTATTAGTGTTATCTTATCTTCATATAGAGTAGAGACGAAACTTCTCAGCATTCCATGGATTCACCGTGCGGGTGCCGGGTCCATCGTGTTGCAGGGAGAGGACCTTCAACAGTGCCTGGGACTTGCAACCCAGGTGTAGGTTTAGGAGGCCCCTTAACTAGCGTGCGTTATACGCTCACCACCACTGTCCAAGCTCCTCTCTCTACCTAACCAAATTTGAAAAGAACCTACTAGGGCTGCCTTCGATGTACGTTCCAAGAATGCATTACTGGGTTCCTCACGTATCAGTAAATGTCTGTCCCCAGGCGTTATACACGACGGTGGTCCGTCACGCGGCGCCCGTGTCGCTGAGCCTGTTGTCCAACACGCTGGCCGGGCGGCTGGTGGCGGGCGCGGACGGCCGGCTGCTGGCCACACACAACGAGCCGCTGCAGGAAGACAAACCCGCAGCCATCATCGAACCCAAGCCCTCACAGAACGCCATGCTGTGGGGCATCATCATCAGCGTCAGTGAGTACTATGACAATTCCTTCTAATATAATATAATTAGTTCATCTATACAGGGTGACTGGTGAATTACTATCGATATTTGAGGACGTGATATTTGACGATCATATATGACAAAATAAAAATTAATATAACATAAATATTAATAAACTTCTAAGTAAAGTTAACCAAAAGTTGTGTAATTAATTACGCATCGTATGAACACCCTACAGATTAGGTATACACACACACTCACACAGACGCGGCGGCGGCGTGGTGTTGTATCAGCACGCCGCCGCACGCCTTCACACTTGGAACACTTGGAACGTGTACACACTTTATTTATTTATACGGAAATTTGGTCAAAAATTAAGTATCTATTTTTTTACATAATTGGAATGAGAATCATGTACCGAGTATGCTCCTTAAATATTGATAGTAATTCACCAGTCACCCTGTATATACTAGAAGACCCGCCGAACTTCGTATGGCTATAATCAAGAAATATCTGTTACGTTTTTTTATTTATATTTTTGGAGTTTACTTATTAAAGTCATAAATCTCCGTGTTTTGAAGTGCGACAGAATGATATAATTCTTTTGTGAGTGTGTAGGTCACTGAATTTCTCTCAAACGACTGGACTGGATTTTGACAAAATTTTTTGTGTGTGTGTTCAATAGGATCTGGGAATGGTTTAGATTCACAATTTTGTTAGCTGGACAATGTTTTTTTATTAATTTTTAATTTATTAGTAGTTGATGATACAATCTTTTTTGACATCAGATTTGACGACTAACTTATATGTCAATCATTCTGTTGTACTTTTAAACACGGAGGTTTATGGCTTAAAGGCAAACTCATAAATTCAAATAAAAAAAACGTAACATATATTTCTTGATTATAGTTATACGAAGTTCGACGGGTCTTCTAGTGTATAATAGTTTTGTTTGTTATAACCAGTCGTGCTGACCACGTCCGCCAACTACATGTCTTTAACGTGTAACGAGCGCGCGTCCGGCACGCGTCACCTGCACGTGCTGTCAGGCTGCTCGGTCCAGCTACACTGGTTCTCTACGCTGCTGTGTCACGCTACGCTGTGTATACTCACGCTGGCGCTGCCCGCTGCACTAGCTGCCTTGCTAGACGATGACAAAACTATCGACGAACCTGACTTCATGGGTGACATACAACTAGACTTTTACTACTATTCTATACTTCAATTAAATTAATACTATTCTTTTAAATGTTTGAGTGTAGTGTTTAGTTTCCCTTGTTAACATGTAAGTAGTAAAATGTAAATACCTGTAATGGTGGATCACACTGAACAAGTTTTCTTTTTTATATTTTTTCCACATATGGTTTGTGAATGTGCCGATGGTATTTCCAAAATAAATAAATATACTAGACACTTCCGAGCGTAGTCACTTAAATAACACTTCTATGTATTCTGCGTATTTTATCAGAGATCACATCTCGTCTTCGTGATCACAGTTGCTGTAAAGTAACCGAAATTCAGGAGTATGTAGTTAAAATAATAATACATAGTAATCCAAATATATAAGTTAATTTTTTTAGTATTGTATGTTATATTCTAATAACCGACGCCGTTCCCAGGCTTCATTTTCTTCCTGTACGTGTGCGCGCTGCTGTCGTTCCTCTCCTTCACGTATTTCTTGAGTTTATTCTTCAAGGAGAACGCCGCGAACATCGTCACGATGGTCTGCATTATATTATTCGGTGAGTCTGAAATGATCATTCCTACTAAACTACGCACTTAGAAAATAAATGAATTTGGTTAACTTTTCGTACTCTACTCACCACTTAACTAATCCTAAATATATGACACGTTCAGGGTATATATCATGTATAGTATATAAGTTATTGATTAGCTATCATACAACAAACATACCAGTATAAGTAATTAAGAAAAGTTAAAACCCTGAAGATGAATGTGCCCACCCATCATCATGATCAAACGTGGTCACCACAAATGATTTATATATGTAAGTACAATTTAAGTCCGTCCTTAGTCAGTGGTGGCCTAGGGGTAAAAAAAGGCCCGCCTCTCATACATGCATGAGGACGCGGCTTCGATCCTGGCAAGTACCAATGTGATTTTTCCGACTCATATGTACTTTCTAAGAGTATTTAGACATCACTGATTATGCATTCCCAAAGAGGGTTGATGTCAGGCAGGCGGCCGGTCGTAAAAACAATTAGCCAAAACTATTCACAACATGTAAGGCAGACCCTGGCTAGAGCTGGGAAATTGCCAGGTAGAAGAAGACAATATAAGTCCGTCCATACAACACAAATTTCACAATTCCACGAGCTCCTCTTTACGCCCTTGACCATAATTTCTTGAAGGTTTCTTCACACCATCTATATTCTCCTTCTAGAAATCCATTTAAACTAGCGTGTTGAATTTAGGTAATATTCCAATAAAACTCTATTAGATTTTTATATGTTAAACACTTTATTGAAAGCAAAAATAACACACAACGCGGTAAGAGTTATAATGACATAGTTATACATAATATAGAAAATATATATCACATATCCACAGACTATTTTACTTTATAAATTTACTCATACAACAGAGCGAACACTTTTTTTATCCTCATCGGTTGGGTTGCCTGTAAGAGATCGCTTGTACTGATAAGGCCGTCCTTGCCTTCAATTTTCTGTATTTATATGTAATGTTATTTCGTATGATTTTGAGTGCAATAAAGTATATTTCTTCTTCTTTTTTTATCTAAACCATGACATTTAAGGTTTCTTCACGCCGACTCTAAAGACGGCGACTGACGCGTTGCAGCAAAACCTGGACAGTTTCTGGGATTACTTGCTGCTGTTAGTGAGTTTTACTATGCCGCCTCACGCGACCGTAAGGGGAGGGATCAAGGCGGCTGAGGACGCGCGGGTCAACGCTATGTGCAAACTGAACAGACCTGGAGGCTGCAAACTGCAGGGACATCTCAATGTGACAGACTACGACAAGTGCTGCGGTGAGTAGCATCTACCATATACACTCAGTGCCGGCGTTAGGAGGGGGCGCGATGGGGCGACGGAACAGGGCGCCAAATTTGGGGGGCGATTAGTGGAGGTTGGATACTTATAAATGAAAAAAAAGGAGCTACATAACTTTCTACGTCCACGTCGTTAGCTCTGGGTCACGCTAAAGGAAAGATGGAAGATGGTAGATGGAATATAGAATTCTTAATACACGTTCAGTGTTCACATTGGTTCAGAAAAAAATTAATACTCTATTTTGATTTCTTCAAGTGGGCGCCAAAATATTCTTGCCCAAGGTGTCAGTCCCTCTAACGCCAGCACTGTATACACTATTACTTACTAACAGTGGTTTAAATGAAACTAATATTTTCGGATTTTACTTGGCGTTTTTATTTTTGATTACAAACTACTTTCGGTTTCGGCTACTTTTCAGCAACCGTGATCACGGACAGACGAGACTAGTTTGTAATCAAAAATAAAAACGCCAAGTAAAATCCGAAAATATTAGATTCATTCAAATGAGTACTCGCGAAAATCTTAGATCTCATTATACTAACAGTGGTGTTGTCGAGCCGGAACGCTCCAAAACGTCGTTGATGTACTTCCATTTTGGACAAACGCGTTTTGAATTAGACTATTAAAGTAATTATTCACAATTAATAAAAAAAAATTAAACACTAAATAATTACTATTTGCGAAAAAATGACTTTAAATACTCGTTAATTTAGAAAATATTTCAGATTAAACTTTCTTCCAATGTAGATTGTTTTGCACTATCCCCGACGATATGCAATATGTTTATTATAATATATTTAAACATTTACATTACAGTACAAAACATTGACCCCAGATGTTACATGTGCTTCGACAAAACAGCGCCCCTGTCGGAGTGTATCGTTCTACTGGGTCAATTCGTATTCTATATGGTGAGTGTTGCTATCATACAAACATGCGCTCTTATAAGGCAACAAATGTTTAACTTACTCACGGAATTAATTTACAATGACTTTTTTTATTGTGAAGGAGTGCAACACTAAACTCTTTACAATATATTAAGTTCTCTATGGAGATTTGTGTTATAGGATTGTCTATACAAAGTTTTAATCAATTTAATTTACAAGTATCTCTTTATTTCATATAATATAATAAATAGGCAATTAGAGTTCAATATTTATATAAAAATTAGCTTTTCTTTTGTTTAAATACTATTACTTTTTTTTTTTGGTAAGTTAAATATTATTATATATTAATATAATAAAAAAAAATGTGGTCTTAGTTCATATGATTAAAACGGTCATATATTTAGAGACATCACCTGGCATTTAAAAAAGTTGTTTAAATGTCACGCTTATCACTCACACTGAAGATTTAATAACTAACTGACTAAGACACAAACGTTATAATTCAACTCTTCTTCTACATCATAAAGAATATTACAGTTTATTTAAGGTGGTTTGTTTAAATTTATTTAAATTTTGTATAATATTGTTTTTTGTTTCTCCTCTAAGATACTTCAATACCAGGTTTAACTTTTAGCTGAAAATCTCTTTGAATGTCATTAACTGTGATGTTCCTATTCAATAATGACATAATATTCTGTTTCAGAGTTTAGTGCTCATCTTTGAGAACGGTATATTCAGTAAGCTGAAAGAAAAAATCTTCAATTCGTCGTATAGACCTACTAGCAGCTCCTCAACGAGGATGGTGGCCGCTGAGAAACAATATGTGGATAAGGCGATAGCACTGCGTTAGTTATATACATAGTATATACACATATATACACTTAGTACGACAAGAATAAAAGGCTATATGTATATACTAGCTGCGCCCCGCGGTGTTACGCGGATTTCCGGGATGTAAAGCAGCCTATGTGTTATTCCTGGACGTCAGCTTCCCGTATATAAAATTTTATCAAAATCTGTTCAGCCGTTTGAGCGTGAAGAAGTAACAAACATACACACACCCACAAAGTTTCGCAATTATAATATTAGTAGGATATATATTTATTATTTATTTATATAGGGAACACACTTTTATGCGGGAAAGTATTTTGTGAACACGACTTGTATTATTGTAAATTGAATTTCACTTATTTAAGGTGAATTGAGTTAACATAATAATTAGTTCATTCTAGTTAAGGTTTTATTTGTTATTTAAAAGTACTGGCTTTATAAGAAAACTATATTTTTATAAAATTTTTGTTAGAATCCTAAATATATTTAATATTTAATGAGGGAAATTATATATTTCTCTAAGATTTTTTTAAGATTTTTTTACAAGACATATGAGACAGTTAATTAAATAGTATTTGATATAACTATGTTTACACCAATTGAACCAAATGTTTAATCTTATTCAACATTTTTAAAACAACTCATATACATGTCAGTTTATTAAGTTGTTGAGTGAGTGACTTGTGTCATATAAAAAAATAATTGTTTTGTTAAAATATAAATATATATTTCTCTAAAAAAAAATCTTTCAACAAATATTTTTTGTCCAGAAATGTATATGTAATTATTATAATAATGTATATATTTCAGCTCAACGTGATATACCCGACGCGGTGTTGGTCAGTAACATCTACAAGAGATACTTCTCATGTGTGTGTAAGCCCTTCGAAGCGGTAAAGGGACTCAGCTTTTCAGTTAAGAGAGGTTAATATTCGTGTTATATATCATTCATACTTTAAACCACATAATATTATCTTTTATATGTATAAATACATTAAATAAACCAGCTGTGCAAGTGAATTGGTCCATGCAGTATGTTTTTTTATAAAATTTCTGCTAGTAAAAGTCTCGTCAAAATAGTTACAGCCGTTTCAGAGATCATAACCGAAAAAACAGACAGACAAAAATTATTACAAATTCGTTCCTAGTATATAGCGCGTTATCAATATACATATTTTAGTAGTGATGGCATGTTCTAATGTTAATAGCGGAGACGAAACCTCTCAGCATTCCATGGAATAAATTAATGTGAGTTCTGGACAGAGCCAAGTCTTTGAGTAGGTCGTAAAGAGATTTTATTATACATATTTTATTTATTAGTATGAATGTATGTTTTATAGGTGAATGTTTCGGTCTGTTGGGTGTTAACGGCGCGGGTAAGTCCACCACGTTCAGGATGTTGGCGGGCATCGAGTATCCTTCAAAAGGTCAAATCTTGGTCAACGGGCACTTCATGAGCCGCTCAAATACTAAGGTACATACGTACATACATAATATAAACCAGCGACTAAAGATCCCTACATACTGACGCCATCTGTGTGAACATATTAAAAACAGAAACAAAATGTAACTACTCACTCTTAACCTACTAATATTTCGATAGAAATTGCCTGTATCATTAATGAATGTTTGTGCACTTTCATGTGTAACATACTGAGATTTAATTAAACTTTCAGTAATGTAGCTTAATTGTCAGAATAAAGTACAGGTTGTAATTAAAAATTCTTATGTTTATTGTTTAATCAAGGTATAAAAGTTGTATTTTGTATGAAGTCACGTTACCATATCTATTGTTGAAACACACGCAATACATACACTGAATATAACTCAAAGTCGAGGACAAAAAATATATGTTTGAGGTGGTAGAGTCTAATTGTGGTCAAATTATGGGCTGGCTTAGCCGGGAAAGTACCACCCTGTCACAGAAAATCGGCATCAAAATTCAAATAGCCTTTAATGGCTGCGTTTCGTCCGATGAATGAGAGAACCTGTCACCCTATCTTGTTAACGGTATTACCTCCATAAAGTTAACCGTTTGCTCGATTACCCTCCGTAGTATTAATAAAAGTAAATGTTAATGGTATGTATGTATTATCTGTTCCTCAGTATCTCCACTCCCTGGGCTACTGTCCGCAGTTCTTCGGTCTAGACTCGTTCCTGTCGGGTCACGACAACATCGCCTTACTGCTGACACTCAAGGGACTAGACCAGGAAGACGTGGACAAGGAAGTGGACTCGTGGATCAGGATCGTGGGTACGTCACACACACATGTACATCACACATCACACACGATGTATATTTCCATATAGCTGGGCACCTATCTTCAATCATTTAATATGAATTTTGCTGTCAACTCATTCCTAGTTCAATGATTATATATAATATATCCAGTTTAAATATATCCAATATTGCAACAGTTCTTTGTTTCTATGCATCGAGTGTACAATACGAATTGTCGAACTACCCAACACAATTTTTATAATTGTATTATTGTTTTAAGTGAATGTAAATTCTTTTAAATAAAGTTCTTAAACCCGATATCCATGTATATGTTCAGGTCTGGAGCGCTACGCCCTCCAGGCCGTGTCGGGGTACTCCGGGGGCTGCGCCCGTCGTCTGTCGGCGGCGGCGTCCCTGTGTGGGGGGGCTCCGGTGGCGCTCCTGGACGAGCCCACGGCCGGCGTGGACGTGGCGGCCAGGAGGAGGGTGTGGGCCGCGCTGAGGAGAGCCGCGCCTAATAGAGCCATCATCATCACCTCACACAGGTACTAAGAGATAACAAATAGTATACTCCGTTAGGCATAAGCTGAGCTTTGCATTTGCGTGAGTGAAAGTAAAAGTAGTGTTAGGCAAAAATCCTTTAGAATTAAAATTTATTATATTTTAAATAGATACATAAAATAAGCAAAACTTGTAAAAGTCCAGATGGAAATGTTATTAATAATGTTGAAAAAAAATTATTGATTAATAAGAATTTTGAAAAAACTACAAATTCTTCTTCACTTGACATTGCGTTTTCAATATTTGACTTTGCTACCAGTACAAAAGGTGAAGTGAGAATGGTGCGGGGCGGAGTAAAAGCGGAATAAACCGGTTCAGAACTAGAAAAGAACGTTGCATTTAAAAATTTGACATCACACCTACACTATCCGTGTACACTCACACAAATGCAAAGCCCAGCTAGTACTATACTGGGACAAAATAAATAGTAACTCAAGATGATTAACCTTATTATAAACAGTTCACAACTCTGATACACTCCTATTGAAACTTATGAAGCATATATTAAGCATAAAAGTTTTGCCATTGCAATAATACTTATGAGGAAATGTCAATGTTGCCATTGTCAACACCCTTAATATATATGGCATTTTTCAATTAATGTTTAAATAGTTGACTCATCCATGTTCATACTTCAAGTTCCATATAATTTAATCAGGATCAACTTTTCCTGCCATATATATTCAATTTATAATATAACAGATATCTGAAATCTGTGATTGCTGTGATGTGTGTCTTTTCCTTAATTATGAAATGTAAATATGTACATGTTTAAAATGTGTCTACCTTGCTAATATTAATGTATTTAATATGACGTTATTAGTATGGACGAGATGGAGGCTCTATGTAGTCGGATCGGTATTATGGTGGGCGGCCGCTTGAGGGCGCTGGGGTCGGCCGCGGAATTGAGAGCAACACACGCAGCGGGACACGCCGTCCGACTAAAGTTGACCTCTCCCATCCCCACCGGAGAAACTGATGGTAGGTCTACACCGTCACTTACTACTCTATGAACATATACATATACCTGGGTAAATACTTTCTGTAGGTAGTAGAGCCTAGTTGTGGTCAATTACTACAGCTCGAATATGTGCTGGCTCGACCGGGGAAGTACCACCCTCTGACAGAAGATCGGCGCGAAGTAGTCTTTAATGAGTGCGTTTCGTCCGATGAGTGAGAGAGCCGGTTGCCCTTTCCCTATTCCTACCCTTTCCTATCATTTCCTTATTCCCACTCCTCCCTATCCCTAAAAAACAAGGTTGGATGTCCAGAGGCTACGGTAACCACCTACCATCAAGTGGGCCGTCTGCTCGTTTGCCAAGCTCCACATAAAAAAAATACTATAACTCAAAAGCCAGTGCCGAAACTAGCCTTTTATACACCCGTTGCGAGCTTTCAAAATTGCGCCTCTGAAAAATGCTCTAACCAGGCTCTGAAAATAAAATGGACAAATGTGCATACAAATAAATCTATCTTTTTTATTTTTATTGTTGACCAAAGTAACAAATTATATAAGTATATAGCTGCCATGCATGAGATAAAACTATATACTAGTCTGGTCATTTCTGCGCCTCTCCAGGGTCTGCGCCCTGCGCCTTTGCACTGTCAATCACATGTATCGTTTGTATTATTATTCATATATTATGTTTGTATATTCACAGAGACTGACAGCACCATCTCAGACATCGCGCGACTTAAAGGGAGGCTTCACGATATGTTCGAGTGTACACTCAAGGATGAACACAAGGTATATATGAAATTTAAATGAAACTAAGATTTACAGATACTACACATTCTTTTATTATTTTGTGATGACATAATTCTGACGTATCAGTTTCTTTACATGCAAACATGATCATAGGAATGAGATTTCACCCTGTCTGAAAAACGTACATCTTAGATATCATTTGAACCATATTTACATTATGAAATCCAAATATTGTTGTTATTTATAAATACCTTAAAATGATTATGAAATGTTTCATCTTAATTAATGGTCTATCAAATGGTCACAATATGTGTTGATATTCATTTTCTACTTCTACTGTTATTAAATATTTTAGCAACTCAAGAAGTCTCATGTTTATATCAAATAAATATATTAAAATGTAATGTTATATGTTCAAATGAATATGATTTGCTAGTGAAATTTGATTTCAAAGGATCTAAAACCCTTAATAAAATTGATTATACACTTAATACACAAAATATAGTTTGTACAAACAATATACAATAAATTGTTCTTTTAATGTGTATTTTTGTTTATTCAAGACAATGCTACATTACCATATAAATGAAACACTACGATACAGCGAGTTGTTCAGTCAACTGGAGCAACTCAAAAAGGACTTCCCTTCACTGGTTGAAGACTACGATATTACGGAGACCACGCTCGAAGAAGTTTTCCTTACACTAGCTCGAGAACAAGAAGAAACATATGAAGCGAGGGTGTAGGCTCAGAAATATGGGATGTTCTGAGAGACAAAATAAGAACATTTAAACCAAACCAATGGCTAAAACAACACTTGTATGTAGAACATTATTTTGCAATGTTCATAAAACTTAAATTTTATAAGTAAAAGGTATGTGATGCACGTCAATTTTAATCACACTTAATTTTCTTGTCGCTCACGTAATTAGGTTTTCTTCACAGGTTTGAATCTCAAATTAATTTTAAGTTTCTCCAACATTCCTTGTAGTTTACAGTTATATTTATACAATTTACAAGTTTCATTTTAAATAGTCAAGTATTAAAACGATCTCAGATTGTCAGAATCATTTTGACACGAACAAAATATATATATACATTTTAATTTTTTACATAAACTACCTTGTCGTATTTTAGTGGTTTAAGATTTTGTTTAGTTTGGTTTCGAAAGCAATATTCCTTGTATTAAAGTAAACTATATATATTTTACAGTAATCACGTAAATAGTATTTATAGTATTATTTAAATAAATGTTTAATAGGCATATTTTAAAATGCATTCTGATACGGCGCTAGCTTGCCGCTTGCTTCATATTAGCAGTCGGTGAGAAAATACATTAGTGCTGTTTAATATCTATTAATTATGTAAAGGGCCAACATGTATAAATATATATTTGCTTCACGCATTTGAAGTTGTCCAAAATGTATAGAGCCCTAAAATATTGTATTAATAGCTATACATTAAGAGTTCACAATGCTTTGGTTACCAAAACCAGTATCAAATGAAAAATATATTAAACGCTTTAGCATTTTAAATTTCAAAAACTTACAATAGAATATTTTTATATCAATTTATAAAGTATGTAAAACGACAATGATATAACCAAAAATTATACTTAAGTAAGACAATATTAACAAGTTGACCACATTCCTTAATAATTTTAATGTATTTAAGAAGTGCCTACATTGATTTACACAATGTTATATTTGTGAAACTTGTATTTTACGAACCTTACTATAATATACATTATATCCGTATATAAAGATTGAATTGTATATCAAATAGAATTTTGTAAGTCCTTGAAATGAATTTTAAAGACTGCTTACCGCTAACACTATATTTGGTTATAAAAAAATAATTTATTCATTGTCTTCAATACATTTGCATCTTAATTTTTCGACATTGTGCCAGTCACAAGTTTTTGCTATGTACGAAAATATATATTCATAAATTTAAATCCTTATTTTAGCTTAAATATTGTATTTAATTTATTTTCACGTATTTGTGGTACTTATTTTGTCAATGTGTGTTTATACTGTGTGTTAAGACTGTTTAGCAACGGCTTTTATTAAATTAAATTATTATAAATATATCGAGCGTATTTATTTTATGTGATTTGTTATAACATTAAATTTTACGTTCCTGTTACACTATAGAATGAGAATTTTTAAGTTGGAAAACGTATCTTAAGCTATGCATTCATTCACACCGGATTGAATTTTGATGCATTAAAAACTTTTTATTATATTTTGTCTGACAAAGTGACACCTTCGTTTAGGAACTATTTAATTTAAAATCATCATTTTCCACTTCTTCTAAAGTAGTCGTTGCCGTAATTTACATAAAAAATGGATTTTTTTATTCTTTATTTTATAACATAGAAATGAAATAACTTCGCCCCTGCAATATGTTTAGACTAAGTTTGCATTGTCACACTAAACATGTAGTGGGAACAGTTTTTCAATCATAAATCTTCATACATTATAGTTTTAATGAGTATACGAAAAACGTCACAATGCTGACTAAGCTAATTGTGCTGAGTATTCTGTGTATACTGACAAGAAAAGACTTCATCGAGTTAAGCAACAGTTTAGCTAGAAAAGTGAAGTCTTAATGTTGATAGTAACAATGAATATAAAGAAAGTGTTATAGACAATAACTCGGTGATTGAAGGAAACCTAATAATTTTTATTATACATATATTTTGCTGTTTTTTACTTTGATATATAGGTTATTTAAAACATAAAAATCCAACATAGTCCAAAATAAATGAGCATATCAAACTATTTGTTCACAAACAAATATGAGAAATATAAAAACACCAAATACAGGTTTTAAATGATTCTGAATAAAACACATCATCAGTTTATTCTCCTTTGGTATTTATTTACACAATGTACATATAACAATTTCCTGCTGCAATAAGTTAAATGCCTTAACATTTGTGGAAACCTTGAATTATAAATAAATGCACTATGGTATAGCTGTTCAAAAGATCACAACAAGGTCGCTCCTACTGGTGAATGTTATCTAAGTAACATTTTATGTTTCTTTTAAAATACATGATAATTACAACAGAACAATATTTGGAAATGGATCACTGATAATTATTATCTGCTGATAACAATAATATAATATTCTGTGAGAGAGCAGGAAAATGATTAAAGATAACGATGGTGACTGGCAAATATAAATAACCTTGTAGTGTATGAAAATAATTATTATGTACCATTACCAATGACATCAACCATTAAATAACTAAAGGACATTTTTATTACACTATTATATTCACATAAATAATTGCACTGTCCTCTTACTTAACATGAAGGCTTCAATATTATAAACATGCTGACGAGTAAAGGATAAGGAACTATGCCATATTTACTAACTCGGTTCACGGAAACACAACACAACAATTACAACACAAAGAATGATTTGATAATCTTCATTGAACTAAAGGATTTTAAATCAATTAGATATTCGGTGTATTCCTACATCATTAAAGACTTTCTTAACATCTTCAAACACTTCTTGCGGACCTACTTCAGAGTTAATCCTTTGCACAAGGCCTTGATGGTCGTAGTGGTTAATAATAGGTAAGGTGTCGTTTATGTAAGTGTTGAATCTCTTCTCCAGTGACTTGAGGTTGTCGTCTGAGCGACCACTGCCAGCCGCCCCTCGGCCCAAACACCTCTCCGTACACAGATCCCGCGAACATTCGAAAAATAAAACAAACAGCAATTTGGTCTTGTCCGTCATGACCCGCTGCCAACCATCCAAATTATCTTTGTTACGAGGAAAGCCATCGATTAAAAACCTGGTTTTACCTGACTTTTGCATCGCCTTATCAATAAGGGAACACGTAACTTCGACGGGAACAATTTCACCGTTTCGAATTTTTTCTTCGATCATTTCACCATATTCAGAACCTGGTCTCTGACGCTCTTCACGAAGTAAATCACCCGCCGACAGATGTACAAAATCGAATTCTTTTGAAATAAGACTACATTGCGTTCCTTTGCCCGCACCTGGAGCACCTAGCACAAATACTACCTCGGGTAACATTTTTCTAATGGAACTATAAAATCTTAAAATCAACCTATCCCACATGAAACTGTGAGAATGACTAAATTCACTGGAAATTAATTTCAAAACACATGCGCAAAGTCGTAACCTTGAGAGATTCGATTTTAAGTTTTGTCCGTTTGACGTAAGACCGCTAGGTATGCCTTTACTCTATACAAAATAGTGATGTAGAAAAAGATGTTTCCGATTCTTTGAACCGGTCGTATTATCGTCAAAAAATCTGTATTATGTGTTATAACCAGTGTATATATTTTCAAAGAATTTATTTCATTCCGGTTAGAGAGACACTATAAACTAGTACAAACAGTGCACCGATACTCAATAGTTTACTTATTACTGCTAGTAGATTATTGCGACAAAAGTAATATATAATACCTTCTATTATGTTATTTTATTTTTAAGACATTGAGATCAACATTTTACAATACCTATATGTAATGAATAATTTTCTATGGGAATTATTTATTATTTTGTATTTAGGAACATATGTATATTGTTGTGCTATTGTGATGTAAGTATTTGAAATTGATATTGTAACTGTCTCTTTTGAAGATATTTCATGTCATGTCTCTACAAATTGATGAATTAACATAATACAGTAATAACAATAATTATAATTTCCAAACGGTTATATCTACATTAGTTATTTAATTTACATAATAGAATTATAAAACTGTATTATTAATAGAAAATATATATTATAAATGTTTACTTAACATTAGTTATTAAATGCGAACAGTAATTGAATATAATTTTGTCCTATTATTAAAAAACTACCGATTTAAGTGCGACTCGCTTTATTGCTGGAATGTATCCGTCAAGAATCGAAATTGTGAATCTTATAACTAAACCCAATTCTATTTTATTTTTTTTTGGTATCAATGTGTTTCTTTTCTATTAAGCATATTTTTACTTCTTATTTGTCCATTATACTAGTTTTCACCGTCTAGAAACATCGGTGAATTGTTTTTTTTGATAACATTATTTGACATATTATGTATAACCTATTGACCAATTCAGAGTTTAATCTTGATTTTTAATGATTGCGGTTTAGTTGGGAAAAATAGCACCTACTGTACAACTTATAGTAATCAAGAAATAAGTATTTTTTCTAGTCTACACTTCATTCAAAATACACAATATATTATGTTACAACATTTGACTACAATCTATCTCAGAGGTGGGACAAAATATCTGTTGGCTCCTTTTTGCTCAATATTAATAGTGGCCATTCTAAGTTACACTATATTTTATAAGAGCTCCATGTTTATAGATAAACAGTTTGGTGTTATGTGGAACTATCAATTAGGTAACCGTACAATATGTACACTAGGTATCCATTAATACGGTATTACCTAAAATTAAAATCCAATCAGGCGATAAACTAGTGTGTTATCACCTCTCCCTTAATGGCAATTTATTTATACATTATATTTTTCTAGGTCAACTACATCTTGAGGAAAACTTGAGTCATTTATTTATTATTCGGTATGGTTCCACAAATATACCTACTTTCATTTAACATGTTATTTAGTAGGTAACAAAATACCACTAATTTAACAATATTGAAACTTGAGTGAAAATTAAATAATTTTTATTACTTTCAAATTATTCCAAAAATGCTTAACAAGAAATCTAGTGTTGTAATGTTGCTGATGATTTTTGTTTTTAGTCGTTTCTAACTACAAGATCCACATCTATAGTAAATAATGGTAAACATTTAATCGTCTGTCTTCTAGTGAAAATAAATTCTACAATAAACTGATCAGGAATGTCAAGGATTGATTTACCTACAATTTATATTTGTAGTTTAGTTTTATTTTGTTTATTGAATTCAAGGATTACGACGGAATTGAAGACGGTCACATTTAAATAGATCACAGAATTAAATAAAAATAAACTTTCTTTTAAATTATTTATTTATCATCTTTTTTTATGTTTACATTAATATTTTTTGTCTAAGCCGCACTTGTAGTGTACCTGTGAAATAAAAATATCAATTATTGCGGGTAATAATTTCAATATTTATTGCGAAAAGTGAATAAAAACTCAGATATATTAAATTTGACCTCAAAAAAATTCAGAACAGGTCTGTGATAGATCATCATTGAGAAATTCATATTACAAACAAAGTAAAGCAATGAAAATCCTCCTTACCTATGAACTGAAGAAATATCGAAGAACAGCAATCTGAAAAGACAACAATAACATAATGAATTTAACAGTATTGATTTAATTTATAAACAATATTTTGTAATCCCTCAGGCCTGTTGAGCTTGTTATGACTATCATTATGTTGTCTAGTAACTGTATTGTCATCATATCAAATTAATGAAACACTACAAAGAAAGTAACTTGTGTAAACAATCTTCAAGGAATCTCATAAATACTCATATTAAAACAATAATTTCACTAACCTTATAAGTGAAGCTGCACTCGTTGTAGTAATCTTGTTAGTGTGATCTGTAAAATTCCATTTCATTACTTTTCTATACATAACATGTAGTATATATAAGTAGTATGTTGTTATACATCAGGCCTGTTGAGCTTGTAAACCATCAGTTTTAAATCTGGTACTGTTTTGTCATCATTGAAATATGTTTTTAATTATCTTAAATTTACAAGCACATTTATTTTACTGTACTAACATTTAAAACTTTAAAACTTTGTACTAACATTTACTTTCTTTAAATTAATATGAATTGATTTAATTTTATATATTATTATTATTATTATTGCGTTTGTTGGTTGATAAAATTATAGTTACCTTAAAAATCATTGTGTATTGAGATTGCAATGTAGTATTTTCTGGAACCTGTCAAAGAAAATAATTGTTATATAACTGTTTATTGTTTACGATACACTTTAATAGTCTGTTTAGTTAAAATCAGGCAAATAAAATGTTGTCCTCATGAACTCAGAACAGGTCTGTGATATAATCATCATTAAAATATATTTTTTATAATCAATACATATATCAATGGAATTATAGCATAATTAGGAATTGGAAATATCAAACGAAATATTTACTTATACTATTTAGTTTATCAAGTATAAAATGTCCACTCACCATAAGTGTGAAGAAAAACCAAATGCAAATCTGAAAATAAAAGGAAATTTTAACAAACTGTTCACTAATTATATTAATATTAAAAGCCAAAGTACAAAGCACATGAAGTGGAACTCACCAGTTCGAGTCAAACATTCCATAACACTAAGATAAAATTAAACTACATTTACAATAGAAAAATTATAATTTAAAAATTAATTACAGTATAATAAAAGATGTCCAGCTCCCAACTAAATAAGTGTTAACAAGTGTTCCTGTGATGGGTTCATGTTATATATATAATTCAAATGATACAGCCAAGTATCACAATTGGTATAATTAATATTAACAATGCGTCTCATAAATATTTATTTAATGTATTTAGCATTTGCCGCTTGTACAAATTCATCGGAGGCGAGCGAGCTCGTTTACATCGAACCGAAAATTAAAACGTGTAGTGCGTGAGGCGCTTCATGGTGGTTATATTACAGAATTGATTGCATTAGCTACGACCACGTTTACAACTTGTCCAAGTATTGGGTTAGATCGGGGAGACCCTCCTTCAGTCCTTTCCGTTTTCTCGTTTCCTGTAACAGATGAATTTTCGTTTAATTCAAGTTAAACTATCGTTTACTTATATAACTTGCTAATTAATTAATCTATTTAATGTATGTATCATTCGCGCCGTAGCATACAGTCCTCGGACATAAGGATAGAGGTCCTATGCAGCGTTTAGACGCACTCGACTTGTTTGATATTCGTCCACACGAGTCGCCTCCTCACAGAGCACGGGCCCAAGTCACTGGTGACTGGACACGCGCGCTAAGATACGACACGGAGTGTAGACGAGTCGAATTCTTATAATCTTAGATTATTCTATATATTACCTGAACGACGGCGTATGGTTTGCTGCCTGGCTCGCTGGGGTCACCAGGCAGAATCTGCCAGTGATCGAACACACACTGAGGGAAGGCTTGTCCGCCGGTGTTGGAGCGTAAGTCGGCCGTGAAGCCGAACGACTCGTTGACAGGCAGGTAGGCCTTCACTACGAACATGGGAGTACCGGCCACTTGGGACTCCTCGAATACATGACCACGCCGTCTGTTCAACACGCCGTAGATACCACCCACGGCAACCTCCGGACACTGGATGACACACATATTCATTATTATTAACATTAAACTTAATATATCTGGAGTTATTATACAATAATTTAAATATTTTGGTATTTTCCATTGAGCTGAGTTGGATTCGCCAATTGTGGATATGTTAAAATTTCGTAAACACTTGTTAGTTCCCCTATTCAGGCAAGGAGTATGTTTTGGGTGTCAATGCCGAAACAAAGAACAGTTTCTCTGCCACGATTCGGAAGAGCAGTCTGACTGTGTCGACAGCCTGCTTAGGATGAGACGTGGGTGTACTCGTCACTATACATGCATGCGAAATAATTACATTTGAAATATAAATATCTCAAATAATAAAGATATTTGCATGCATTAGTGAACTTACATGTTATTTTAATAACATATAGTGTTAAGTTCCGTACCTGAATCTCACACAAGTATACGGGCTCCATAAGACGAGGCGAGGCGGTCAGCAGACACGCGTACAGACAACGACGGGTTGTTGGAATGATTTGACCGCCACCTCTGTAATATAATAATTAACACATTAAATACTATCATGAACATTTCCATAAAGCCATTTTATATGCTCAAGTACATATTTTTGTACATGGATAAGGAAAAAAAAACGTAAAGAAAGGTTGATTAATTAACATTATTAACTATCAAATGAATGTCAATAATCTTTGTACAAACCTGTGGATAGCGTCAGTGTGTAGTGTAACGTCGTAAATGTTGAACCGCACTCCTCTCAAATTTTCTTCAGCCATCACTCCCTCCTTGGCCGCCCATTGGAAGCCAGCGACCACAGAATCCTTGATTTCGTTAAGATACTGCACTCCCTTGGAGCAGTCCACGAGGATATTGGGTCCTGTACTCTCAGGTCCGAAGCACCAGATCTTACGGGCCTCAGTAACATCATACTCGTACTTCTCTCCCAGATAACGGGCACGGGTCTTGAAGTCGTCACGTGGGTTCACTTTACCCTGAAAGAAAATTGCATGAAGATAAGTGATAAGTGTTTAGAACTATAAAAAAAATTTATTTATGTAATAAAGTTTATTTTATTAGCATAATTGTAAGTGAGCGAACCTCATCAATATCCTCAGGCAAACCCTCGGGCATGGGTGTAGCCTTCATGAACAGACGGTTGTGCTTGTTGGGAGATTTGGAAAGGCACATCTGGTTGGATTCCTCATTAACAGTTTCACGGTATGACACCACAGGGTCAGATTTCTTGATTGGAATGCAAGCGTGATCTTCCTCCAAGTCCTGACAAATTACAAACATTTAATGAGTAAATTGTTTAGCTTTAATCACACTTATATATATAGAGAACTTTGTAAGGATGTTTAGGTGTTTCTTCTAAGAGCAAGCTCTTCAAAAATGTTTCATGGATGTTCATTAAATTATAATACTATAGCTATCAGAAGAGATTTGGGCTATTATTTATCACAAAATCTCAACCAGTTTTGTTAAAGCAGTATATAATGGGAAAATATATTTTTTTTATTGTAAAACAGATTCAGCAGCTCACACAAACTATTCTAGCTTCTACTTTGTTATCTTAGACTTAATAAATGTAATAGGTCCATTTTCAAAGCCCATGTGAAGTCAGAGAACAAAACTAGTTACGATTGAATATAGAATATTCAATATTCTTACCTTAAGACAGATTTCAAGATGCAGTTCACCAGCACCAGCCACAATATGTTCACCAGACTCCTCATTGATGCATTGCACCATAGGGTCAGACTTGGCGAGACGCTTCAGACCTTCCACCAGTTTGGGCAAGTCCGCGGGGTTCTTGGGCTCTACGGCTACACGCACGACGGGAGACACACTGAACTTCATGACCTGATATATATACAAGATTTAATAATACTGTAGTAATTACATATAATATGTAATTTACATTTAATTAAGTGTTACCTTCATGTTGTGGGCGTTCTTGAAGGTGGTGATAGTACCAGTCTTGACAAGGAACTGGTCAACACCTACTAAACCACAAATGTTACCAGAAGGCACATCCTCGATAGCCTCAACATAACGACCCATCATGAGGATGGTACGCTGGATGGTCTTCTCATACAGATCCTGAAATTATATGTTAAATTAGCAACTTATATTCGTTATTTACACATATAACTTGCTAATTAATTAATCTATTTAATATATGTATCATTCGCGCCGTAGCATACAGTCCTCGGACATAAGGATAGAGGTCCTATGCAGCGTTTAGACGCACTCGACTCGTTTGTTATTCGTCCACACGAGTCGCCTCCTCACAGAGCACGGGCCCAGTCACTGGTGACTGGACACGCGCGCTAAGATACGACACGGAGTGTAGACGAAATAGTTTCAACTACATAATTTGTTAAAAAACTTAAAAGAGCTATCATAATGTAAATATATGGATAAACCAGGTAGGTAATACAAAAATATAATAAAAACCTCTTTTTTGCCGGGCTGGAAGTTGGGTCCCATGATGCGGGCCTTCTGTCCAGTCACAACTTTACCGGAGAACACACGTCCGAACGCGTAGAAACGTCCCTTGTCGGAGGTCGGTACCATTTTGCTCACGTACATCATGAGAGGTGCTTCGGGGTCGCAGTTCTGTGGACCAACATATCAATTATAACCCATTCATTGATCAAATGTATATCGTATATATGTATAAATGTGTATGTATATATAAATACAATACCTTAATACCCATAGCAGCTTCATCATCGTGGGGTCCCTCGTATAACATCTCCATACGGTATTTCTGTGCCACTACTGGTGATGGAAGGTGAATGGCAATCATCTGAAGTAAAGCTTCACCGGCCGGCAGCCAGGAACGCATCACCACCTACATAAACATTGTATTAGAATTCATGCTTAACTTTAGATGAGCTAAGTATTATCAAAATTCAACTGTCTCTATCATTAATGGGGTCATACATCACAGGATACACAACCAATTCCGGAAAGAATTATAATGTTAGTCCTCTTTGACACCCAGGAGCAAATTGATGTAGCAACTGGCAACACTTGGGACTTAATGATACATTAACATATGTACTGTATGTTACCTTAAGTAAAGCTTTTCCATCCTTGTCCGAGTCCTCATGCTTGATGGTAACACCAATCTTCTTGAGGAGACCGTCGATCTCCTCTTTACGGAAGTTCATGATGGCATCAAACACCTTGTAGATGGGGTCCAACACATACATGCAGAAGGAACGCTTGTTGTCGGCATCCTTTTGCTTAGCCCATTTCTTTGTCTTGGCATTGAAGAAGTTTTCTCCCCAGAGCCTAATAAAACAATCAACTATATTATATTGTTATCAAATAAATCACAAATAATATTACATTAATTATAAAACTGTATCTCAATAATAGTTGTGAAGCATATCACAATACAGTATACCTCACCAATCTGTTTATAGAGCAAAATAATTTTTGTCCTTGTCTGCCGCTGGTGAATAGCATTTAAAAGCTTTACCCAGTATCAATGGGACAAAGATTTTACCTTAAAAGTTAAACTTGGTGATAACAAATAACTATAAACTTTGCTAACCTGTTCATGAGTTTGACGAGGTCGATTTTGAACTTGTCGGCATACATCTCGGAGAACTGTTTCAGAGTGAAGGCCCAGCCATGAAGACCTGAACCAAAACCTACTGAACCCTTGCTGGGGTCCACACGGACCTCACCTGAAGAACAAAAAACCTTATAACATCATAGAAAACGTGACTTACTTAAAAATATTATAATACAAAATCTGTCTTCAAACAAGTAATAGTCGCAACAAAAACATTGCAACGCCGATCAACTCGAAAGAAATTTATGTAAGTCCAATTTGACTCCATGAAAATTATAAAATAATTTACTGGTAACACTTAGGACTGAAAACTAAAATATATTTTTAAAAAATCGTATAGAAAGACATTGCATATAAAGGTGATATATTTGTTGTTATATAAAACACGCCACCCTTGACCTTGGCGAATATTGATATAACTCGCGTGTTAGTAGAGTGACCATACTGATAGTGGGATTTAAAAAATTATCAAAGTAGTGAAATTTAATGATATAAAATACTTTAGTTGGGATCAATAAATTACTCAGCATAATACATTTTAAAAATTATAAATAATATTCCCTTGAATTGCACAATATTATCTTATCAATGCCTCTTATAATATATTATATTGCATAATATTATTAAACTAACCCATAGGTCCACCATCGTCATTGTATGTAGCGATAATGACGTTAACATTCTCTACAATACGCTGGAAGGTCTGATACAGCTCCTCGGCTTCAAGCTGGAGCTCAAGCAGTGCTCGGTCCATCTTGTTCATGAACAGAATTGGCTTGATGCGCTCGGCAATAGCTTGACGCAGTACAGTCTCAGTTTGTACACACACACCTATATACAAAGAGAAAAATATTTAAATTGGGTTGTATTTGTAGTTTGTAGTATAAGATATAACTTATAGTTAATACAAACTACTTTCACTGAGAGTAGTGTCATTACATTACGATCAATGATCTACTTTCACTTGGTAGCTGTATCTATACTAATATTATATAGCTGAAGAGTTTGTTTGAAAGCGCTAATTTACGAAACTACTGGTTCGAATTGAATAATTCTTTTTGTGTTGGATAGTCCAGTTATCGAGGAAGGCTATAGGCTATATAACATCACGCTACGACCAATAGTACATAACTATTATCTTCATTGAATAATTTTATATGTTTTATGAATATTTTTAACTTACCCGATACACAATCCACCACGACAAGGGCTCCATCAGTAACGCGGAGGGCGGCTGTTACTTCGGAAGAGAAATCAACGTGCCCGGGAGAATCGATCAAGTTGATCAAGAAACCCTTTTCGTTCTTCTCACGCTGGTCAGGGTTGGAAATGAACACAAGATCTTTCTCTTCCAACTCGAAGAACATAGATATGGCGCTACAAAGAAAAATCATTTAAATTTTCGTCCATAATTCATTAACGATTGATAAATATGTCGTAACAATCAGATGGCCGTTCTGAAGATCGTCAAGAACATTCAGTTTTTCAATGGTAAGAACAATCATCATGGAAACCCTTCAAGTTAATTCTCAATATGCCGATACAGTACACGTGGACAGATTTTAATACACAGATCATCTTAATAGAAACCGAAATGTAAACAAAGTTAAAACAATCGATAAAACTAACAAACACCAGCTGATCGTAATAAGACAAAGGTTATCGATTTAAAGAAAGGTGCAGTTGCAACGAAGTGCAGCCATATTGCTAAGTAGGGAAGGTAATTAGCCTGGACTCACGTGGATTTGATGGTGATACATCTGTCTTGCTCGTCTTTGCGGGTGTCTGTGAAGCGAGTTTCACCCGCTCGGGCGCCGGCAATGATACCGGCTTTGGAGACCAGAGAGTCTGTTAGCGTCGACTTGCCGTGGTCGACGTGGGCGATGACGGACATGTTGCGGATGTTCCGCTTCTTGTCCATCATCCCGCGGATCTCGTCTACGGTAAAATTCACCTGCACAAACGGAAAGATCACTCAACATCTTGATTATGTTAACCGTATTATACTATAGGTAAAACGCTATGTCAAACGCACGTTTCATTGAACAAACTTTTACTAGTTAGCTGGTTTAATATTTGAGAGAATAGAAATGAAGTTAACAGTTAATATTCCACGGCACTACAAATTCACATCATCACTACCAAAACGTCATCCTGTCGTTGGACTTAACCTGATTTTATATTACTTATTAACATATAATACCAAAAAATATAGATAGAAAACGTTAACACAGATATCCCGAAACACTATTAAGTACACTTAAATGATTTTAATAGCTTACCATATTGGATGGTTTATGATTTTTCTTTCAATAAATTACACCACCATACGCCAGCAATGGCGTACGCGTTAAAAAGGACCTTTTCTGAGTTCGTAGGCCGGATGTACCTGCCAGCCGTCAAATAACGTTTAAACCATAGACAACAGTTATTGCCACCTCTAAAATCTTTTAATAATTATTTATAACTAAAAGATTTTTTGAATTCTTAAAATTTATGAAATAAAATAAATTAAAAAGCATCCTATTGCTGTAAAAAACATAAATCTTAATTAATAACAATATAAATGAGAACAGTTTATTTTGTAGTAACTTTGTTCAGATAAGTTGTCTATTGCAGTGTGATTATTAAAGTTGAATTTATAGTTAATAAATTCATCCCAAAAACAAATGAATTCTCTGAAAATAATAAAATGATGTTAAGTTTTAGCAACCTTGACTTTAGCCTAAATAGAAATGTAAATTCACATACAATTAAAAAAAAAAGATTAATATCAATTATTAAGATATAATTCTAATTATGAAAGTCATCCCATCCCATACCCATCTTTAGTACTGTTTTGAATCTCTACCGGTGACGCTGTAACAGCCGCAGGGCTAACAGCATTTTACATTACAAAAAAAAAAAACTGTTTTGAAATTATTTATTTATATGACTTTCATTATATTAATCACAAAGGTTATTAAATAAATATTTCTATAAGTTTTACTGACTTTTTGATTTCCAGAGTTTAAAATACCTAATCAATTGAATGATGGCGTTTAAAATACTTCAATAATTATTATTGCCATTTATGTCTTGTCTATGTTACCAATCACAACCAATGGTGTTCACATTAAGAATATCAGCTTATAGTTTTTTTTACTAGATGGCGTAACAGAATGTTTTGTATTTAGTAACTATTTGACAATAGATGACGCTGTCATCAAAACTTTTAAAAATTATCCTTTTAGTAAGTAATTATAAATAAATACATATTGTTAGTTTCAATTCAACAACAATTTACTTTATGATGTTGTTTTTGTATTTTTTTTCACATTAACGTCTATTTTACTTGACAAAAATGTATTAATTTGAATCGTTATTTAATAAACTATCTAGCAAAGTAACTGTAGATTCTGTTTTTAATGTACATTTTACATATTATTTACATATGAAATAATAATAAATTTCTTAATGTCTATTATAAAAAAGTATTACAGCTGAATTGTTTGTGTGAGTGTCGCTGTTTCCTAGAAGGCGGCCCCAAAACGAATAGCTGTGACATCCCCAGAACCTTGCCAACTTGACCTAATTAGTTTGTAATAACAAACAATCACACTATTATTATTAATATTTATTATATTTAATAAGTTAAACATTCAGATTCCAACAAATATTTGTTTATGGCTTATTTCGCGTTACCACAAGACTTATCTTTTCCTGTATTTTAATAATGAGGTTATAAATTGTAAGCCGTATTCTAATACTAATATTTAATAAAGTCACGAATTTAAAAACAGAGCGTGATATATTTATAGTCTACTTTTAAAGTTTATTCAACATATTGTGTTATATTCCTGTCTATACAATCAGAAAGACGGACTATCATTTATCAATGAACAAGGAATAATAATAACTGGCAGACATTCAGACCCTGGCTAAAGTTCTGAAATTGCCAGGAAGAAGAAGGAATAATAATAACTCTTTAATGCAAAAATAAAAAAAGAGAGGCACATATTAATAAGAAGTTATAGTATATAGAAGGACAGATGTTATATTAAATGTATTTGTTGTCTACTTTTATCGGTTTGCCCGTAATGTTACTTATTCTGAACTACTTTTTCCAACCTCTTTTGTATTAATGTGTCCCTTGTCACCATGTTTTAAGTGTGTTCATGTTATATTTAAGACAAACATTAGATCAGTTCTATTAATACAGATGCAGGGAGGCTTGGCAGTAGGCTGCTGTGAATCATGCGCTACCGATATATTATTGAGAGACAAATGCTCTGTATGCGTGACATTTATGACATTTTGAATTGTCATTTTGAGGTTAGTAATATAATATCGGGAGCAATGGAAGCCATTGTGAAAATATAAGAATTAATAAATGTTAATTTAAAAATGTCGAACCCATTTTCTTAGGAGAATCGATGTTTTTATTATGAATCGGATTTATTAATATTGTTTTAGTGAAGTCTTTGACATCATTACTTTTTTTAATTTAGACCTGACAGTCTACATTTTTCGCCTCAAGACGAGTTTGAACAGAATTGTAGCTAATTTGTTATGTATGGTAAACAAATATAATGATTTTTTTATTTAAACAATGTTAATGGAAAATAATAGTAATAAAATCTTTTCCTAATCTAAATAGCACCGTTTAATAAATAAGGAAATCGCAGATAATAAAATTTAAATTTTCTTAAGGTCACATATAAGTATGTTTCAGACACACAGTCGCCGCGGCGTCACTCGTGAGCCCACAGAGTCTAATCAACGCCCATATCGTATTAAATATGAATTGATTTATTGACAGATGACAGTTCATGATTAACACTTGATTGTCATTTAATTAGATTATAAAGATACGTATAAAGTTGAAATAGAATTATTATTTAGGAAACATTACAAAAATATATTTAGAAAAACCAATATATATAACGTTTATCTTTATTTAAACGACTTTTATCTTGATTTTAATATTGATAACCTAATTTAAGAAGGTTGAAAATGATGTAAGTTATTCTAAAGGTTCATAAATATGTTTATGATATATGACCAGTTTTTCATTCCAACTCTTCTCACATTATATAATACTAGCTGCGCCCCGCGGTGTTACCCGCGCATTGCCGGGATGTAAAGTAGCCTATGTGTTATTCCTGGAGGTCAGGTTCCTGTATACAAAATTTTATCAAAATCTTTTCAGCCGTTTGAGCGTGAAGAAGTAACAAACATACAGACACACTCACAAACTTTCGCAATTATAATATTAGTAGGATTATATTGAATGCGATACGGAAAACGATTTGTTTATAGTGTGAAATCATGTGAAAGCATGAGGACCTTTGAACAAGTACATTTACTGATAAGTTTTTAAAGATAGGATAAGTGTTACACTGAATTCTTTTATGGTTTTATTACAATGATTTATTCAATAAAGCATGTTTATATCGAAATTTTTTCCATAGTAAATTCCTAATTAACTAATTTGATGTTTAGTATTTATTTATGAAAGCATTTGGCATTAAATTTTTTGCCTTTATCAATAATAATTAAAAAAAAAAAACAAAATGTCATTGTGCAATTTTTTTTTGTTATGACTTCCGTATTGTGTATGTCTAAAAAGTAGAAGCGATGTTTTGTAATATTGCGTGAATGTGAAGTGCAATCAATACGTCGGGGGGTAAATTGCATGGCATAATTGGTAAATGAGCACAGAGGGTGACAGGGTTTGGGGTTGGGACTTGGGGCCATGACTTATAGGTTACGATGATAGGAACACAGGGTTGGCTGTTGATAGACTTGTATTTTCTTTAGGCAGACCCTGGCTAAATTTGGGAAATTGCCAGGAAGAAGAAGAAGACTTATATTTTCTTTACATTTGTTAATAATATTGAGTTTTCGTAAAATAGTTTCAATTAATGTAATGCATATAAATAGTTGAAAGACAAATAAGTTAGGTTAATATTTAAAAAAAGTTTTTTTTTTTAAATTAAGTTTCTGAATTTGAATTTTGAACAATATTTCGTTTCGAAATAGTTTTCACTTGTAAGAAGTTTGTATATGACAAAAAATGACATTGAAAATACATTCATTTAAATGAATGCAATATGAAATGTATATTCTATAATGTACATAATAGTTATTAGTTACCTCCAGCCCTACCGTGCCCCATTGAGAGGGATGTTGAAGGTCATCAGATAACAAATTGCATGACCGACGAATTGAACCTTATCTATGCAACGGCATCGTTAATGTACTGAAAATACGAACCACTCGCTTTGTAAATTGTAATAACTAATTTAGACGAAGTTTTTGTATACGAGGTATGGTTATAGAGAAAATTGGCGATAATCCTACATTATAGTCAGAGCAAAATAGTCGTATATACCTAATATGTAAGTAGATGACAAAACGCTAAGTGACTTCTAATATTTAATATTAAACATTCTTTTTCTATTTGAATTACATTCAAATATATATAATATGAAAAAGTATAAACATATTAGGTATGTTGAAAATTTACGAAATCTGGAAAAAATTATATAATATCACGGCTATTGTAATAATGAATTATGTACAAATATGTGACATATCTGAGGTCGATTGCATTACTAAAAGTTTTGATTTAACGAAATATAAACAGTTAAACGTATTCCAATAATTAATCTTCGAATATAATATCCACTTAGATACAATGTAACACTTGGAAAGTGTGCAGTCTGATAATCCTAAGTCGATCCTTATATTCTGTATATTCAGAGCCTGCCTGCAGCTCAGGATTCTCATAATTTATTAGCAGATATATTGTATCTTCATTACTCTCAAATTCAGTTACAAAGCCGTCAATTATGTTATTATTTTTAGTTCAGTTACAAATGCTATCTTAAAAAAAGAGATTTCTTCTGTTTATACGAAAGTTTTCGAAGCTGTTTAAGATAATTTGATAGGCAGAAAACTATTGAATAGTTTCTAAGTCTTCCTCCAAAATATTTCTGGTTGATGTATTACAAACGATCACGGACTGTTAAGCGATCTGGCAGATTATTATTCTAAGTTTCGTTGAAGATTGTTTTCTCAAATGATTCACCAATCGTCAAAGAAAGCTGTACAACTAATATTAGTTACGATGTTTCAAAATTAATAGGACAATTTTCATTAAATAAAGCATTGTTCTTATTTTTTTCATCACTTAGGTATTCCTCAATTACTAAAATCGATAACCAAATTAAATATGTATACCTATCATTTCAGCTATTTTGAAATTTAAATGACTTTTTATATAAATGGAAAATTTATT